GAATTTCATGGCCCCAGGGTCAAGGGGTCTGGTGAAAAAGGGGGGGGGCTCTATTGATTATATAGTGAAAAAGCAAATTTTTTCTGAAAACATTCTTTTCTGCTTCTGGTTAAAAAGCAAAGAAGCTAGTGTATGGTTATGATGAGCAAGAGTGCTTCTTCCAGAGTAGTGAATTGCATGACCCCTGGGTCAGATGTGCTGGTGCAAGGGTGGGGCTCTTGATAATATAGTGAAAATGCATTATTTCTATTAAATAATCCTGTCTGCTCCTCAGTGTTAAGCAGATAAACAAAGTGATTACTTATGATGTGCAAACTTCTGGTCCCAGGGTGAGAGGCTCTGATGTTTCTCGATGGAGGGGGGGGGGGGGTTTCTATTGATAATATAGTGAATCTGTAGTAAAAATGCATTATTTCTTTAAAAATCTTCTCTGCACCTGGGCATATCAGAGGCAAAAAGAGTAAAAGTTTTAATAAGGAAGGGTATTTTTAGCAGATATTTGAACATCTGGACCATTTAGTCAAGTGTTCTGGTCCTAGCTAGGGCACTATTAATTTGTAATCTACTGAGAGGAGTTATTCCCCTTTGCCATTTACTTTTGATAATTAATCACTGTAAATAATGTACTTGAAAGGTTAATAGAATAAGAGAATTATGCAAGAATTTTTATTGTATAATACAAAAAGTACTTTCATAGTTTTAATGATCAGGTAGACTTGTAAATAATAGATAAATAAAAATGAGACAAAAATAACTTTTCTTATTAAATGTTCATCAAAGATCAAGAGAGACCAATGTAAGAGATTTCAACAAGGAATTAAGATGATACAGAAGCAGTGATATTTTGTTTATTTACTGTATGGTGAAAGTGTTAAATGAGGAACAGATTAGAACCTTATTTATCAACTGTGAATGAATGCTAGACTAATTATTTTTTTGATCCTGATCACTCTTGCTTTTGGGCAACAAAGCTTCACCTTTCAGTTCATTTTATACTCTATGGATCCTCTAAATTGTTGTATTATACTCAGGTGACCGTTAAGGCCCTTGGGCCTCTTGTCTTGTGTATAGTGTTTAAAAACGAATATAGAGTTTTCATTTTCCTCACAAAACAAGAGCAATCCATGTTGTTTGTGACTTCATTAGCGATTCTGTATTCAATGGTGGCAAGAAAAAGAAAGCGGTAGTTTTTACATATTTAAGAATCTGTAACGCTATTAATCAAAAACGTGCATGTGAATATAGAGATTAAATTTACTCATTTACAAAAAAGTTTTCTTAACGTGATTTTCAATTACTATATAAACATTTACTAGTTCTAAGGTGCAAGAATTTTGAGATATTTTCGTTTTTTATTCGAAACATTTAGAATCTGTAGGTCTGATTACGGCAATGTTTCGTGATCATAAAATTATTTTTCAAGACCGCCATCCTTTACAAAACATATGAAGGCATACTTGCATAAATTAATATTATGTTAAAAACGAAGAATAACAAAGTTATGTAATTTAAATTTGTGAATCAAATAAGTTCATACATGTGATAAAATGACAAATCAAATTGTATTAGACTGTATTAGTCATAAAATGCTAAAAGCGACTCTTTTTAGTGTTGTTAAACCACTTACCATGTTGTTTAATAGGTCTTTGTCAGAAAAAGTTTTTCCATCTTTTTGGAAATTAGCTCATGTTATTCCTCTTTTTAAAAAGGATGATCCCTCTGTGGTTTCCAATTATAGACCTGTGTCGTTATTATCTTGTGTCAGTAAAATTATGGAGAGAATAATATTCAAACACGTGTATAATTATTTTCATAGTAATGATTTATTCTATCGATATCAAGCAGGATTTCTACCTGGTCATTCAACTGTATACCAATTACTTGAAACTTATCATAATATTGTTCAAAACATTGATGAAGGTAAATCATGTTGTATGGTTTTTTGTGATCTTTCAAAGGCTTTTGACAGAGTATGGCACAAAGGTCTACTTTTTAAATTACAAACTTATGGTATATCTGGTGATCTTCTCCAGTGGTTTTCTAGTTATCTATGTCAAAGGTCACAAAAAGTAATGTATAAGGATCTGTTATCATCAAAACTAGATATTTTTGCAGGTGTACCCCAGGGGTCTGTATTAGGGCCACTATTATTTCTCATTTATGTAAATGATGTTGCTGAAAATATGCTTTCAATGTGTAGATTGTTTGCTGATGACAATTCACTTCAACAATCATCCTATAATGTATTAGATATTGAATACAAATTAAACCATGATTTACATATTTTGGAACTATGGTCAAATAAGTGGCTACTTAGATTTAATCCATCCAAAACAAAAGTTTTATTTTTCAGTAAGAAAGACATTTCTATTATGCCAAAGCTATTTTTTAAAGGTGATAGACTGGAGTGTGTTCCAGTTCATCGTCATCTGGGTTTATTATTCTCACAAAACCTTAGTTGGACTGAATATTTTGATGGTGTAGTAAACAGTGCATATAAAAAACTTGGCCTTTTAAAAAAGCTTAAGTTCAAAATCGGTAGGAAAAACCTATCAAAATTGTATATTACGTTTATTAGACCTATGCTTGAATATGCTTCCATTGTTTGGGATGGCTGCTCTAAACACGATTCTGAAAAGCTTGAAAAAGTACAACTAACTGCCGCTAGAATTGTAACAGGACTTCCTATATTTGTTTCTAGAGAAGCACTATATTCTGAAACTGGATGGGAAACATTAAAAGCTAGGCGATATATTGCAAAAATGACAACTATGTTCAAAATTCCCACGGGAAGAGTACCTGAATATTTGCACAATATTGTCCCCAATAAACGCGAACACGTATCAACGTACAATACTCGTAATAAAGAAGATTATGTTGTTCCAAGATGCAGATTAGAATTATTTAGGAATTCCTTCGTACCCGATGCTATAAAACAATGGAATTTACTAAAAATAGAGGTTAGGGAAGCCATCTCAATTAATTCATTCCGAAAAAACTTGGTAGGAAAACTGAAAAATCCACCATCATACTTTTCTTATGGAAAGCGATATACCAATATCATTCATACTAAGCTAAGACATTATTGTATACTAAACTATGATTTATATAAACGAAATATTATTAATAGTCCTTCGTGTTCGTGCGGAAAACGCGAAGATGTGTACCATTTCTTTTTTGCATGCAAAAATTATTCCAATGCTAGAAATACTCTTTTCAATCGCTTGTTCATGCTTGAATTGGTCACTATTGATTTAAACCTATTACTATGTGGTGATGAAAATTTGCCTTTACAGATAAATAACAGTATTTTTGCTGCTGTTCATAAATTTATTGATGAAACATGTAGATTTTCTTAGTTGATATGTTAAATTTTATTTGTATCATTTGTATTATTTTTCTTTAATTTGCATGACAAACTGTATTATATAAGGAGAGGAACTAGTAAGTTATTTTAGAACTTGTTTCCAATCCTTTTGATTTAATCAATAAAATATGTTCAAAACAATCAAATTGTATTGTTATGGCGAGTTTCTTCGTCTTCGCCGCGTCTCCCTCGCTATCGTCGCTGCTATTTTTACAATGTTAACGGATTTTTCAGATTATTTCTTGCTTACAATTCTAAAATATAAGGTTGGATATTAAAAATCATATCGATAAAATCAGTGATTTGGTCGTCCATAACGCAGAAAATTCAGGTTGTATCGCGTATATTTTAGTAAGATTTACGTGAAGAGCCGATCAGCCATTGTCGCCTTTGACGTCACAGGGTCACGTGATCGCTATCTAATTAACTTAGATTTTTAATTCAGGGGTTTTCATTTGAGTCAATAATTGGTTAATTACCGCGATTTATCCGCAGTAAAAACACAAAATTTATAAACTGTGGTCATAAGGAACGTTTTACGCTTTTAATCTCAAATTATTTAGAAACATGCGATAAGTCCTTTAACAAACTATATCAGATACATATCGAAAGCACCCTTTTTTTAATTGGTTTAATTAAAAGAAGCCTATGATTTTTTTTTACTCATATTTCAAGTACAAAGACATAACAATATGGTACCAGTCAAACTTCTATTACTATTATAAGACTCTGAGGTGTACTATTTCAAACAATTGCGCATAAAATGGTCATAATTAATCTCTCTCTCTCTCTCTCTCTCAAAGTAAAAATTACTACTTATTCAACGCTAATTTAAATTTTCCCCAGGTTTTATAAATATAAGTTTAATAAAGCGTGATATGGTGTAAGGATATTCCGTGAACTAAGAATTTTTACGTAACGTAATGGTCTGAATTTTTCCCGTCTAGTCGATAACGAAAATATTTTGCATGTATATAAATTTTGAAGTTGTTTTGTGTTTTTGCTCTTTGTATATATGAGGGTGAGTGCATGGGTGGGTGTGTTTTGTTGTTGTTTTGTTTCGTTGTTGTTTAGGGTCAAAGTTATGGTAAAAAAATTATTATGCGCATTTTCTGAAAACGTCAGGCCTCCACAAGGATAGATACATCTTATCATAGCCAATCTAAACATGAATGGAAAAAAAATAATCACGCTCATCAGTGGAGGAGGCAGGACACTGAGTTTTTCATATTTCTCCTTATATCGTTTTTATTCTTTTTATTGCTTGTATTTTTTTGACATTTATGTCTTTTTCGGGGGTGGGGTGGGCTGTTACGATGTTTCTTTGATTTCTATTATAATGAAGATGACGAAAATCAAAGATAATAACTCGAGACTGCAAAGTTTGCTTAGCTTTATCTTTTCAGGAGCATCACTCAAATCAACATAAATAAACAATGCGACTATTGGCTACACCACTATGGATACAATAATTATATTGGATTTTACTGGACCGAATACGGTACTGAGTCTTTGGTAGTGCCAGGGGAGAAGAAACTGCCTGGTTTGTTTATGGTTGCCATGCGAACACAGCCACGGCAGTGGTCACTTAATATCAGCATCATATTTCCGAAATATACAGACTTGGAATCGGGGAAAGAGAACGCAGTTAAATCATGAAGCGCTCGTCTTACTATGATCACCACAGCGATTCGGTGAGTCTGATTTACAAGATTATCCGTTTTTATCTACTTTTGTTATCAAAAGAAAATGGAGGATCTGCTTTTCAAAGCAGAATAGCTGGGTTTGTTAATTACTCTAAGTAATATAGCCCTCAACCAATTTTGAATCTGTTTAATTTCTTCAATTTGTATAAAAATTTGAATTGGACACATTCTAAATTTGGTAGAGGACAGTATATGAACATGAAATATTTAGTCATATTAAATCATTATACAAACTTTTGCATGACGAAAAAGCTATCTTCAAGCTAAATTTTAATTTTTCTGTAACTAGTGTTCTCTTCAGCTTCTCCAACCCTTTTTCAATTTTAATGTAAGAATTATTTTGATTTTGTTTAACTTGCTTTACATACGTGCGTGTGTAGGAAAATGAAGGAACATTTCCTTAAATAATTAAACGTAGAATTATCATTAAAGTCATTACTTTGTCTATATTTTAAGAGATTCCTTAAATTCTCTTTATGGGAATTTTTATGGTAGTGTTAAATGTAGGTGATCCATTTTTTTTCGATTTTCTAAGAAATCTGGGATTGAATAACGTATATCCTTCATTATTTATCAAATGATCAAGAAATAAATTATTTTTTTTTTAGAATGGTAAATAAATTTCTATTATCAGAATATTTTTGAACCGATCTTACCCCAATTAATTGAAAAATATGTGTGTGTGTGTGTTTTTAATTTTAAAATATTGCGAAATACGTAATAAGAGAATGAACTGATTTCAATGAAACTTTGAAGAAATGATTGGAGTGGGGTGGGTAGGGGGTGGGATTAAGAGTTTAATATCCTTTTATGGCCAATTACGCTAAAATACAAGGGATCTCAGATTTGTTGACCATTGCAAATTCTAAATCGTTTAGGCCCACGGTCACAGGTGCCCTTCGGGAAGCCTCTGCATTTAAATAAGTACATCACAGTATCTTTAGATAGCAAATTGAAAACCCATCACAAAAGTGTGCAAATTGACCATTTTCCCTACAGGTAGTATGGATGGTGTCCGATATTTCCCCATCAGTGAATTGGTGTCAGGTGTACAAAGTGTCGATATCGATATTTACGTTTATCAGCTTCAAAGTTGTAGAAATTAATTAATAATTAAGAGACTGGTTGCTTTGGAAACATTACTCCGGACTCCGACCGTTCAGTGATAAACATACTAATGAGAATCTGTTTACAGACAGCCTTACATAAACATTGATTACATTTTCCTTTGTTTGAAGAAAGTAGTGCACTATATACACTCCTATCCCCATTAAAGCTTCTGGTGCAACCTGAAGCCGATATCACACCGCTGCTGGAGACTAAAACTCCGACAAACTTTATACTTACACATGCAAAGACAAAAACACATTACACAGTCGTAACATCAAAGCTGAGATATTTTTATGCTGTTTTAGAGGGATCCGTATCAGTCCAGTGAAAGTGAGGATAATCATCAACCTACCTATAGGGGTGGAAACAGAATGTCGGTGTCCAAACCTCATCAAAAGAGGATTCGTCAACAGAATGGATACAACGAGTACCGATACGAGCGGTACGAGAGCTACCCACCCAGTCTTCTGGACCGCGAGCAGAATACCAAAGCTATCAGAGTCAAATTCTTCAAAAATAGAGATGCCTTGCATAAAGGAATCGTCCTGTCTATCAGTGAAAAGATGTTTCCGTCTTTGGACAGTCTGATGAACCACCTTAACAGCAAAATTGACACTCCACAGGGTGTGATGTACATCTTCAGATTGGAAGACGGGAAGTTGATTGAAAGCGTAAAGGATTTTCAGCCTGGGGACGAGTGTGTCGTGTCTAGTACACCCAAGATTGACAGAAGCGTACAATATGGGCAAGTGTCAGGTCCACCTTCTCCGATTAAGCGTGCAGCCCCATTGCAACGCAGTCAGGGGCCCTCCAGGGAGCATATCCTCAGGGGCAGCAACACTCAAACAAGGGGTGGTCCAAACAGGTCCCCGAATCAAGCTAAAAGCAAACCTCTTACGTTTACAATCATAAACAACACTATGAGGACTTTACAGGACAAAATGATCATCAACCCACAGACGGAGCAGTCGTTTGAGCAGATGCTGGTAGACATGGGTGAAGTAGTCAGTATGTCTGACAATCCTGCAACAGCCCTGTACTGTGCCGTCCCTCCTTATAATAAGGTAAGGATTCTGCAGGTAGACAATGTATATTTAATTACCGGTATATAAATTTCTAGTACATGTCTGTGTGTCATCAGCATTAATTGTTTTAGTACCATCGCGCTCTAATAGGCATTGTTCAATAACAGTGTGAATATGACTGCTGATTTCATTGGTGGAATTATTACAAATAGTGATTTAAAAAGCTTTATATTAATATGTTGCAGATAGAAAGTTTTTCGAATCTTCGACACGAACTACTTGTTAAGAAGGTGGAAAGTTTTTTCGTGGTCGGGGGTGAGGGTTCTCCGAAGGAAATCCGTCAGAAGAAAGTTCCGGTTCGCGAACCAACCCCACCCCCAGAGGATGACATGGATTACTATGAGGAGGCACAACATCAAACGTACAGAGAACCTTCGCCGCAAAAACAGAAAGAACGAGGCAAGTGGAAGCCGGCTAAGGAACCTCCGAAGAGACAGCAAAATGCAAGACCAATTAAGAATGATTACAGCGATGACAAAAATCAAAACGGCTTTGCAGCCGACAGAGCGCAACCTCGCAATCGTGGCAATTTATCCCAAAGAAGCAACAACCACAGCAGCAGCAGACAAACAACACATTCACAGAAGGTTGTTAGCAGTCGAGAAGAACGTGTTACAAGCAACAGTTTGCACGAACCCAGACGATCCATTGATTCCAACATGTCCAAACCATCACGTGACTCACGAGAGGGTATTAACCGCCATGAGCAGGAACCTCTGACGAGCAGAAGTCAGCGAAATGAGCGCCAGGGCAGCAACAAGCCCCCAGGAAAACCTCATCCAGTACGTCATCAGCAAAAGCATCGAGATTTCGAAGAAGAAAGAGACATGGAGGTCGACGAAGGTGAAGAAGATATGCAATACAACGGCTATCATGACGAGATCGATAATCAAGACGATGGAAGAGAAAACGGTACAGAAACAGATGACGATTATGACGATGAGCCACCACAGCAAAGGCCAGCGAGGAAAGGGCCCCGGATGGAAACTCCAGAATGTTAGTGACGTATTGCTCAGATCTATACAAAACTAGGTGCTGGATTTATTAAACGGACACTTCTATAAAAAAATCAGTGTAATTACTTTGTATATATCAAACATTCCTTTATTTATACATATACTGGTATACTGTTTATTGATTTTTCTTAATTAAGTTCGAGGAAGATATAAGCATTAATAATAAAATCCAAGGGAACGGCGATACTGTAAATATGTGTTCCTAGAGTGAGGGCTTTACCGTGAAACCATTCATTTTCTTGGTGTAGTCCGTGTTTTGACCCCCCTCCCCGGATACTCGAGCTCATTCGACTCCGGTGTAGAAAGTGTAACTTAAGTAGACAGCATATCACATCTCCGTCTGTTTGTACCACGATATTGGTTTTGTATATCATTGTATGTTTAAAAGATTTTTTAATTCTGTTATATGAGGAACTGTGTACAATTTTACATGTAAATGTTATTTATTGTTGACTCAATAATTTAATTAAAATTTGTTTACATATGCATTGTGCATTTGTGTGAGAAGATGGCATCTACAATCACTATTACCAAATATATAATGATCACGGCGACTTTAAGGCACTTTGGCATTATAACAAGCACCAAATTAATTAATTACTAAATTTCATTTTATTTACCTTTGATGTAAGATTCTTAAGGTCATTGACAACCTACCTTTAAACGTACCTTACCCATTGATAATTTTTCAAGATATTCTTAATTTAATTGTACTATCAGATGTTTTTAGACATAAATTCAGCATACATTACCAGGGGGTTTGAATAGATATTAAATGATGAAATTCTTTGTTATTCAACGAACAATATGCAAAAAATTACCAAACACAGTTTAACTGAGCTGAATTTTCCCAAAAATCGGTATACAGCATCATAAGGCATTCTAAAAGTCGTACAAAGTTCTTTCAATTATTGGAACTCTTCAATTTTACAGAAAATAAAGTTGTCTGTGTCCTTAATTCCTCTCCACCTTTATGACAATAAATTGCAATTCATATTCTCACTTCTTTCGGTAAAAATTACGCCGTGTTCTTGAATTTCTGTCAGCATGCGAAATCTTCATTCTCTTGAATATTTATTGTTAAAGATTATACACAACAATAACAGAAATTCTTGAAAATTTTGTCTCGCTTATAAATCCAACATAATTATCTCTCGAAAATAAGGTGTCACAAAAAAAAAAATACATGTATCTACTAAATGTGTAATTCTTGGATATATACTTCGCTTATATGTATTCCTGACACGCGTAAATTTTCTATATACAGTACATTGGTCTTGTTATAAGTTGTTGATCCCTCCTCAAGGAAGATAAAGCTATTCTCAGTGTTGGCTTCTGCGTTCTACATTTTGGTTCAAATTCCGCAATGTTTATTCCGTGTTTTTATGCAGTGGTTTCAGGGGGATTGATACGGGGGATCATTCATTAAGATGAACCTGAATATCAAATATTAACATACAAGATAGGTCTAAAAGGAAAACAAGCCATAGAAAAAAATGCTGGCATAAGAATTGCATATCTTCGAATTCATATGTTCTAAACAATACACATGTTTAAAGTTATTTGGCTGAATCTTAGATATTGTAGATCTATATCGGCACACAAGTACTAACTGTAAACTTCAAACGAAAGGTATTAATAATTCATATTTTATTTCGAATTGCTAAAAGCTTCGCTGACTTTCTGAAAGAAAATTCATGTATAAGATCAAGAAAATATATGGTTGCCAATGGAGATTAGTTCTGATGCTTTTCAAGCAAATTCTGATAACAATCGGAATGTATACACAGCGTTCTACCCGATTATTTATCAACCAGACGACAGATGTAAATACCCAATTCCTGCAGCTTCTCTTGCACAATTAAACAGAATTACAGTAAACCCCCGTTTGATTGAAGTTAGTCAGATGGGATTGTTACAATGAATGTCTGATTGAATCACGCGAACTGACTATACTATAAGGAAAAGCCATGTTATGCCTTTTCGAAATCGTCAGAAAAATTGTCCATGCATTTTCTGTTAATGCTTGCATAAAATCAATTATTATTTGTCTTATATGTACAATAACCTCTAGTTCCGGAAAAAAGCCTGTAATTAAGTTAGGAAATTGTCAGGTGCAACAAGCGCTTGATTTTATGGTCACCGCTATGCATTGAGAAATCTTCTCTTTACTGTTAATTTTCAAAGGACCATACCAGACTTGATTGGGAATGATTAACGAACCCATGTCATTTGTATCTTAATTCAAATCTATGTAGTTAAGAGAAAAAGGACACTTTACCTGCAAATCAACCCGGTGATAGTTTGCATAATGAAAAAAAAAATAAACTCCTGGTCAAGACGAGAACTGGTTTTGAATTTGATATAGCAGAGGGATTTATGTAGTTTCTGCAATTTCTATGTACTGTATTGACGGGGTCGTCATCTCTTCTATATACCAGAAGAAAACATCTACTATGGCTTTCAACACGATATATCGACAACGTTTTATCAAATCTGTTTCATATTTGGATGTTTCAGTTACTCTCCTTTTTGTATGTATAACAACCTTAATACCACAAGGTATTTTTCACATAACTTTTTTTTTTTGGGGGGGGGGGGGATTTGAGCACCGTTCTTGCCGGAGTGCTATCCACATATCTTTTAATTAATAAGTTGTAAGCATGTTTTGAGTAAGGTCTGGCCTTCTTTACTTGCCCCTGAATGTTTTATTTGGATTTGAACTGGAACTATTCCAGGACAACAAAAGCGTAGAAACTACATTTCGTTTGAGAAACTCTCTTGCTTGTGCAGTTATAGCATGCTGCAACATAATACAAGTTTACATTTTACCAAATCATAGGGCAGATAGATTGCATGTAATTTGTCCAATGAACTGCACAGTTAGAAATTCAGAAAAACAGTGTCTGGGGCATTAGGCCCGGGCATACTAGTATAAAGAAAAAAGTTCTTTTAGTAAAACTATTTTATTTCATACATGCAAACAACTTAAACACATCAATCAAAATAAAATATTGCAGATAAGTAATTAATGCATGTTAAACAACAGGAACAATCATAAAATTTATTACTTAACTGATTCCTATATATGATTTACTAGAGCAATTCTGTAATAAATATGGCAAATATCTTTTTCAAAGATTAAATTAAAAAAAATCACAAGGAAATTGTAGACAATCAATAATTAATAAAGTATATATTTCTAGCTAATTAGTGTGTATTCCCTGAATAATTATCCTTTACGACGTGGTGGACCTGTTTCACATTCACTAGCATTAACTCGAAGTCGCCATTCATTCCAGGAGCCCTACAAAAATTTAAAATATTTTGCAGTTAGGGATATATAACAATGTAAATCAAACAAAATACTAAGATCTGATGACACGTTGTTTGAATATCTGTTTTGTATCTTCATAATATACAACAAATTATCATATTATCATTAGCTTGTGATTTTTAATCTTTTTTCAAAATATCTAAGTAGATAAAGACACTAAAACATTGTGATATTGGCCATACTATGATTACTGGTATATAGTAAATAACATCTTCTGGTATCTTGAACCAATGCCTGGTAAGGTACCTTAATTTTTATGAGAAAACTTGTTAAAGCAGTAAAACTTCAATGACAAATTCTCAGAAAAAATTATACATTACTGAGGAACATTTGTCTGACCTTAACAGTAAATACAGAAACTAAGAAATTGACAGTCAAACAGGGCATGCAGTTTTCTAACACTGTAAACACACTTATTTTAGCAGTAATTATAATTAAGTACCTTCCTCAAAGCTACTTGTCTGCAAATTCAAATACATATAGAAGCTTTGTTCCAAAATACAAATATATAATTTATGATTATGCCATTAAAGGAGATAAGAAACATTAAGCTTAATTTTGAGTGTATTTACTTGTGTATGTTTACAGTATAAATAAGGCCAACCTTTGCTTACCCTCTCCTAGCTGCAGATCTGTAGCTCACTGGTCTGAAAAAAAAACTGGGATGGATGATCCCAATTTTTTGAGACCAGCGAGCTTCAGATTTGCAGCTAACCCTCTCTGGACTCCGGATAAAAATACTGGGTAGGTTTTCAACATCAATGCTTAATTTTCAAAATTAATTGAATTTAAGGTTTTATTAAAATTAACGTAGTTGTTGATGGGATTTTCTTTGTCCCCCCCCCCCCTTTTCCCTACATGACATACATGTATCTGTCATTTTGAAACACAATGGTGTAGGCAGTGAGGTCACAGCAGTCATGACAAACATCGCTGAGTGATTGAATTTGTAAAAATATATTTTAACAACAATTTAGAGATAATTGGCAGTTTTAGATCTTTTATTTTTTATCTTAATTTTATAGTGTTTAAATTGTTTATGCCTTCTAAAAATGTTAATGTAGTTTGCTGTCACATTTTATGAATGTAGTGGCATTTACCTTTTTAAAAAATGCATTTTAGATGGGGATGCTTTTATAAGAGCATGTCTCTGTTTGTTTTAATACATGTCTTGTAATGCAATATAATTATCGTAAGTTTTAGAACAGACAGTCCAAATAAGCACCCCCTTTGCCTATTTTCAAGCCCTTAATAGAATAAATCAAGTAAATGGTGTTTTTTTTTTTGGTCATAAAAGACTGAACCATTCTGACCCTGACCTTCAATTACATCAAAGTCTGGAGTGTCTTTCACCTTTACAGAGTTAGAATACCTTTTAGATTAAAAAAAAATTCTGAGTTAACGCATTGCCTTATAAATATGCATTATTCTTTAACTTTTGGCATTAATTGAACCATCTTCAAGAGACATCAAAATCAATAGATGTCTTCTACACGACGCAAAGATATAATTAGGCCACAAGAAATTTAATACTTATATAATAAAAATAAAAAATAATTTTATTGAATTAAAGAAAGCTTTAAAACTAGTTAAAAGTTTCTGAGTTAATGATGCACAAAACTGTGACTGGAGAGTGTATAGAGATTTTAAGTCGTGGTTATCTCTCTCATTCTGTTTTAAGTCTGAAGAAGTGTTTTAATGATCTCGCTTATCAATTGAAAAGAGAATACTAAGTATGTTCATTAAATCCTAAAAGCTAAAACTGGATAACTTGTTATGAAGAAACAAACATGATTGAAATAACCCAAAACCATTATATCTTGGTGAAATCATGGTATTGCAGACAGCAGGCTCTTATTGATATATTGTATCAATCCTTTGACTTGGAGTGTTACCAACAACATCTACATGCTTTATGTACTGGATATGTGTTAGATTGTGCAAGTCCATCAATTATATGTCTCAATTAATGGAATTCAGTTCCACTGTGTCTTAATTTTCATCTCCCAAGTACTCCCTCCTTACTTCTTATCTATATAAATAAGTCATAAAACAGCGGTCCCTTGAGGTACTGTTATAACATACATCTGATGTATTATTTACCACACATCAGCTTTGTCATCGTGGTAACCATATAAACACCAGGTATATAAAATGGAATCCCTCGAGAAATGAATAGTAAAATCTGTGTAGGAGGGTTCACTGCTTGTGTACCTCACCAAAGTCAGTTAAATAGAAACATTATTGAGCAGACATTTAATACTGCTATATGTGATGATCAAGAAAGTTTTGTTCCCTGGGTACACAATAGAGGTGTTTCACAATCACATATTGATACAGTAGTGTAATCAATAATTACAATTTGCTAGAAGTCATTTCTTCTACAGTATCGCATGCAACAGACATGTAGAATAAAAAAAATGTTAAGTTTGATTATTTTTCTTTGAATAAGTTATGTTAGTGAATTTTCCAGTGTTTCGATAATTCTCAGATACCACTGATGTTCAACTAATTTCTTTGTAATGGAATACTTGATAAAAAAAATGTTTGTGAAACACTTATCCCCTCCCCCAAATAATTGGAATTTTTCTAAGTCCAAGTGGCATAACTCTGTCATAAATTGCTTGATCATACCCAAAACAGAACTTGACCTAGATATTCTTATGATAAATCTATACACCAAATTTCATTTTAGTATGTGCAACCTCTGTGAAGAAAATGAACGGAAACTGTTGGTGGACCGACTGACAGACACAGACAGACCAATCGATCGACCGAACAGCAGCAAAGCAATATGCCTCAACAAATATTCTTCAACAACAAACATTGAATAATAAGAAAAGAAACAAGAGGCCCATGGGTCACAATGCTCACCTGAGTCACTTTGGCCCTTTTGTTCTTCATCAGATTTTCCCCCTAGTATATACAAGCATATTCCTATGTAAAATTTTAATTCACCTTTTGTGGCCTCATTCTATATACAGGGATCATAATTTGAATCTATACTACCAGAGGATGCTTCAAAGTAAAGAGCAAGAGCCACGAACCATCAAAAATGGCCCTGTATCAAAAAGTAACGGGGTTTTGTCAATTGATAGTGTAGACTTTTAGCTTTTCTTTGCCGTTTTTCTTTTTTTGATATCGATTATATTTTTTGAAAAAGAGACTTTGAAGTATGACGGTGTTTTAAAAGAAAAATGATGGTAGAACGTCATTTTCTGAAACATAACGTCGTACGGCGGAAAAATTACACTGAGCGATTTTACATATGTGACTTTGAATGAAAACTAGTATTAATTGGGATAGACATTTATCTTACTAATAAACTTCATAATTAATTTCAGACAATTAAGAGCAGTTGGAAATTGATTTCACATTGCAGTCTTGATAGCAAATGCGTGTTTAACTGATTGAATCTTATAGATACATGTACAGTAAAAATAATCTGTGTGACTGTCTCGGAAAGATTTCACTCTAACTGGTCCTTATGTTTATATAATTTTTTAAGAAGGAACATTGTATTTCTATCCTTTGAATACATTTTTGTGCGATACATCGCTCCTAGTTAAGTATTGAGTATTGAACATCAATTAAAAAAAAAAAACAAAACAAACAAAAAAAAAATACATACAAATTGCTTCAAATGACGATAGCCTGTTTAACTTAGTTTTCCGGACTTTTTCCTACACGCCTGCAAATATTAAACTGATCTTTAAAATGCGCGTCCAGGCACGTAGTTTGTTTTTCAAAGTGGGGAAGGGGGGCAGTCTTAAAACAAAATAACAAAATACATGTACCTGAAATGATCTTAAAACGAATGAAGCTGAAGAGCTACGATGTACTTCAATAACTGGATAGAAGTAATTGCCCCCAAAAAATTGTTTAAATGGAAATAGACTTTTTATGCGAAATTCTTAGATCCTGAACTTGCGAGTATTTTAACATATAAAAGATCTAAATGAGATTTGGAAAGAGGGAGGAAGTAAAAAGTTGGAGGAACTTGTTTCTAATCCATTTATTCATTTGTAACAACGTCGTTTTCAAAACAGAAACATAGAAAATCAAAGATTAATTAATAAAAGGGGTGTCGCAATTTATCAAAATGGTTTATTTAGTAAACAGAACTCATCAAAGCATTGCCACCCTAAATGTGAGTTTCTTTGGAGTAATATAGAATACATTTCAAAAAAATATTCCATAGAAAGATAAATCTGTTAAAAAAAAAATCACTAATTTAAGGCTAAAGCAGAAAACAAATCAGCCCTGTTTATTATTATATATTTACCGGTATTTGCTAGATCCCCCTCCCCCTCTTCTTTTGCAAAATATTTGAATATTTCTCTCCCAAATCTTTACTGCAAAGAATTTGTAAAGATAGAAATCTGCGAAAATTATATGATTATTTTCCATGTAAATGAACAAAAAGATTAAACATGAGCAAATATTCGTTTCTAGCATACTTAACTATAGTGTAAAATTCACACTTTCGATTTCATTGCACATTCTGGTTTTTATGGTTTATAAGAGAGTAAAGTGTATTGCTGATATGTGAGTCACAGTCATCAATGAAACACGTGTACAAGGGTTCATTTATCCATGTCTTATTGTCCTACAATAAGCGCAAGATTGATTGTATTCAACAAAAACTTGCTTAAAAATGTTTTACCCCCAAAAACAATAAGAGCTGTCCCTATATTTTCTTTTCAATTTTCTATCAAATATTTTTTTCGTACACAGTGGTGGTGCCGCACCAGCCCACCACCCCCCACCCCAACCCCACCCCTTCTAACTGAGGGAAAAAATAAGAGGAGTAGGAAAGTCTACAGCAATTTTCAATATCTTGATTAATTTCTACTAATAAACAATAAAGAAAGTTAAATTCAAGACAACTTATGGGATTAAACTTTAAATAATTACATTAATTGCAAGTTTTTCTGTCATTAGTTTATGACCCCCCCCTCCACCCCTATTTTTCAACCTCAATTGGAAGTCCTGGATCTACCCCTGATGAATCCATTCTTCATATCGTGAAGAAATGGTGGCAGATTAAAAAACTTAAGAGTAATTTATATGTAGTGTACTTTATTTTATTTATCAATTTTTATTTTTTATTTTGTCTAAATAGATTTAAAACAACTTCCCCTTCCACTAACTGACGACCAGAGGCATAGATTGTGATACATGTAGTAACAAATTCAATGAAATATTTGGAGCACAGTAAAAATGTTTTATACTGGATTTCTAAGACACACTCTGATATTTTTTATGCATTTTTGCTCACTGGGGTGTAATTGACTTATGTTTTACAAATGATGACAAAATCAGTTATGTGTTATATGTATGCATGCATCAATATCCTCACTTCGATTTTATTAAATGCAGACATATTGAAAAATATACATATATGCTTTTGAAGCAGGATGGAAATTCACCTTTTTGTGTACATGCATAAGAATTACCTCAGAGGATTTTTATATAGTTATGGCTTATATATGCTGGTACAAAAGAATATATAGTTATAGTATATATATATGTGTGTACCGATATCGGGTTTCGTCAAACACTTGCACTTCATGAAATCGCGCCCGTAACCAAGATAGCGGGAATGTAGATGATTATCTAAATGCGTTTTTTTTTTAAAATTTTCACTTTGAACAGCAAGCTATGTTTTTATTATTTCGCGTGATATCTTTGCTACATTCTCTATCAAATTGTCTACAATTTGAGTTATTCTCTTAATACGCTTATCAGTATTAAAATTGTCTCAAGAGTATCAAACATAAATAAATAAAAATAAAAAATGTTGCTTTAATATAAAATGGTAGGTCTATTGACAGCTTTAAAAAAAGCAGTCCGGGGGGGGGGGGGGGGGGGGGTTAAGGCAGTAAAGAAAACAATTTGGCGTGAATTTCTAATAATTAATGATTTGATGGTATCATCCAGTTGGGCTTAGATCATACAAATAATGACAGCATTCGAGAGAACAAAGAACTTTTCAGCAACATTCCAAACAGTATAGAGCCTTTATGACGTCACAACTGACGTTTTATTAGTAACGTCATATGTAATGGACCTATTCACATAAAAACCATGTTCTGCCAGATATTTATTTCAGAAAATGTTTATATTCTTGAGTTTTATTCCACAATAAGCGTTTTTATACGAACAATAGATTGCTTTTCTCGCATATTCTGTAAAATTTACAATTTTTTATTGTTGTATGAATTAAATGTTAACGATTGGTTCACAAATTAGTGATTATTTGATGCATCAAAATTTAAAATATAAAATCAAATTTCATATTGGCCACACCAATGAACAACAACGATAATAAGCATAAAGATTTGTATCAGCAATATCTATATCTATGGTAAGTATAAATGTTGTTCTTGACTGTGGCCACATCTAACTTTGGGAAAATATGTCGAAAAATCGGCATTTTTTAACGTTTTTATGAGACCGTCGCATCTTCCAACCGTTGCACGTGCCTAACGGCGCATTATTTAACAAATTAAGTTACGTATGAAAAACAAGTATGTTGTCCTCTAACATTTAATGTATAGTTCTCTTGTCGAATCGAAACTTTATTTTTGTGAAAAGCAAAGGGCCGAATTTGATGGTTCGTGGCTATAGTTCTTTGACTAATCATAAGAGAAAATTTTTAAAATCTTTTCCTATAAATTTCTATGTAAACCTATGATCATCTATTGTGGCCCCACCCTAACCCTGGAATTCAATATTTCAACAAACTTGAATCTACACCACCCGAGGATGCTTCCACATTCAAAATATTGTTCATCATGGCTTATCTGTTCTTGAGAAGTTTTAAAGACTTTTTCCTACAAAATCTACCTTACCTCAGGAAGGTTTCACATAAGTTTCAGCTTTTCTAGCCCAGTGGTTCCTGAGAAGTCTTTTTAATGACCCCACCCTATTTTTCTTTTCTTGATTAACTCCCCTTGAAAGGGGCCTTGGCCCTTTATTCTAACAATTTAAATTCCCTAACCAAGGATGCTTTGTACCAACTTAAGTTAAAATTGGCCCAATGGTTCTTGAGAAGAAGTTGAAAATTTGAAAAGTTTACAGATTGATGGATGGATGGATGGACAGACAGACAGACAGACGAACCATGGACAATGGGTGATCAAAAAAGCTCCCTTGAGCTTTCAGCTCAGGTGAGCTAAATACTCATTTTGAAATTTGAAATTTAAAATTTGATAATTCCTAGCGGCAGACGTTTTCTATTATTGATTAAATTTCTTTTTAGCTAGTGGGATCATATGGCTAAATTCTATTTAAAATATTCTTTTAGCCATCTATTTACATGTATATTTACATTCTGCATGTATTTTGCTTACAAGTGTATGGAAAGCTACGGCATTCAAAACACTATAACACAGACAGGGAGGTCAAAAGGTTAAGTTATGAATTTTATTTTGATATCACAACAGTTGAATGCTGTGCAAGAGTAATGTCACAAACGAAAATCAGAATTCACATTGAACAGTTTAACAGTAGCAACTGTTGCAGTGACTCTTCCATTAATTGTAACTTACCTGAAGGGTTATACAAGGGTTTTTGATATATAAATCACATTTGCAGACAAGGCAGGAAGAACTGTAAGTCGTTTTAATTCCATGGTATTAAAATTTCACGATCTCTCAAAAATTACCAATCGCAATGGTTTTAATTTCACACTGCAAGAAATTAATTTCAAATTCGCATAAGCATTAAAATGTGTTTAAAAACTAATGATAGCATTCACAACGGGTTTAATTTCGCGGATAAATAATAAATCACAAACATAGTGAAATTAAAACCATAGTGATTATTTCCCAATCTACAGTATATAAGCATTGAATTATTATAATTTGAAGGATGTAGTTGCATAACTGCAATGGCATTTGAAATTTTCATAACATGTTATGAGTACATCTTTCAGAGAATAATAATTCTATGCTTAAATAATCGAAATCACCAACTGCATGATACATTACATTTGTGCCCAACCTGTTTAGCTCTTATAACTTTGTTTTCATAATAGAGACCTCACCCCCCCCCCCCCCTTTTTTTTTAAGAAAAATTCAGACGGTTTTTTATCATTATCATCAACTGTGAATGAGAAGTAGAAATTATACAATTTCATATTAAAATTATAATTCAATAAAATGTGTGTTTCAACCAAAATAAAGTATGGACATCATTACATAGTTTACAAGAGGAACATTTTCAGCAGTCATCTCTCTTTTATATAAATTTAGGAATCCTCACCACCTCAGCTTCAAACTGAATTGTGTAAATAAAATCTATCATTAAGTCAAAGGCTGACTGAGGACAACCATAAAAAGGTTATTAGAAAAAGACAGAAAATTTGTGGATGGAAGAATGACAGACAGAAAGACAGACATACAGAGTGATTACTATAGGGCTAATAATTTTTTTTAATGACACTTACATAATATAAGGCTGTGTTCTTCTTCCCAAACATGTGGGTAGCAACATTTACTGCACATCCAGTTAATCCAAGAAAGCAACTGGATACAATAGGTTTATCCAGATCCAATCCTGCATCCTCAAACACTGTGGAGAAAATCCAGTCCCATAGAAAATGACATCACACATTTATGAAATGACTTACTATTTATATTATATAACCATCACTCATACTTAAGTGATGGTCACATAAATTTAGTTTTGTTTAAATTTTGGGGCATTTTATGGGGGGGGGGGGACATGACTTTTTTTCAAAGGGTATTTGATTTTCATGATATAATAAGATGGGCGTGTTTGGCGTGTGATCTGCAGGAATTAGGCGTACGAAACATTTATAGTTTAAATGTCTACGATTTAGTCGGCTGACCACAGCTGAACATACTTTACAAAGTGACACACATGGGAAAATGTTACATTTAGTTTGAAATACTTTGCCAAATTTAATATATATCAGTCCGTTTATCTTAATAATTACTACATGTAAAACTTATATAAGTAACTCTTCACAAATAATAAACACCTATAGGGTATAGTTAAATGCAATTACAAGTACATATATATATATATATATTAAAGTATCAGTAGGTTGGAAGAATTGCTTTTGCTTTCGGTGCAACAGAACCAGAATTTATCTATTTGAAAATAAATCAGTATATGGAATTAAACTGACAAAAAAATGATTGTTTGTACTAAAAAAATATTATAAATAAGCTCCATGCGAGGATCGAAGCAAAAATATTTCTTTGTCATTGCACTGGACGGGTAATATGTTCTACTGAGCTATCACCGCTTCACACACTTTATGGTTTTTAAAGCGTCAATGAAGCACCGCATTTACACATTGGAATTTTTTTTGAAAAAGTTCATTTTTTATCGTCTCTGGGTCTTCTCTCCATTTTTTACAAATGTTTGTTAGTTTCTTTGAATTAAAATGCACATAAATAACGTTTCAAAATCATGGAGAGATGACTCAGAGGTAGCAAATTTTTAGAAAAACGTGTTTGAAAATTTAACATTTTGTACCAAATGACTCATCTAGCCAATTATCAAGTTCTTTTTTAGCAAATCATATACAATATCGGGAAAATATTTCCCTGTCCTATTTCACAGGAACCCGATACATCAAAAGAATGCTAAAATTTCATGTGACAGATCAATGTAATTTTCACTTTTCAAGTGCGCCCAGATTCCTGCCAAATGCCAATCAAAAGCGCCCTCATTCTTTAATAAACAAGTAAAAATATGCAAAAACTACAGGTTCTGTAAGCACTGAGCTCAAAAAAATGATACTCCCACCTCCCCTGGCTCTAATATAAGAATAAAAGCAGAGTTCATATTTTGCTATGAGAAACCCCAAATGTCTGTCCACTCAAAATGTAAAATAGGAGGTGCACAATGACACTTTTTAATAAAGATTCTTTGCAAGTCTCATTAATTAAATTTATTCAATGGTATAGAAGGAGTTGCAGATTAGAGATTGATACCTATAACATTAGAGAAAAAAATGGCAGTGTCCATGTTTTTTGATATAGGAGGAGTTGCAGATAAGGAATGGCTAAACCCAAGCATAATGGACAGGGGGAAGGACAGACACCCCCATCACTAATAAATCTTTAACAATTCTAGTTTTGTATATCATTTATGTCCACATGGGCTTCAAGGCATAATAAGGTTTGTATCCTTTACAAATCCCTAAACTGATTTTGAACTTTAAGGTCAAATCATGAATTGGCACATGATAGATGTTTGTTTCCCCTAAGTCCATGGTCCATATAGCCCACACCCCTACTTCTGTCCCTCCTTAATTTTTCTTTACCCTCAGAGACACACAACCAAGATTCTTTAGACCCTGGGAGAACTTTCTCCTGCAAGTCCAGGAGTGGTCAACAGCACCAAATGTACCAAGAAGAGAATCAAACCCAGAACACCTGTATTACTAGTCAAGTGCCTTAAACCACTTAGCCATCCAGGCCGAATCCAAGGCCCATACATGTATAGCCCTAACCACAACATACAACTAGAGGTACTGTGATCACTGAACTCACAAAATGACATCCCCGCCTCCCATATAATGGCAAAGTCCATGTTTTGCTTTGGGAAACCTCAAATATCTGTCCAATCAAAATGACAAATAGGAGATGTACAATTGCACTATGTAATAAAGATTCTGTGAAAGACTCTTAAATTTTATTCAGTGATATAAGAGGAGTAGTGGATAAGAGATGCTACCCCTAAGTGTAACAAATGTATATGGAAGGATGTACAGACAGACACCCCCCATCACTGTCAAGCGGGGGGTATAATAAGTGTAACAGGAAAAGAGAAAATGTATGGCTGGACCGGGAATCGAACCTGGGACCCCTGCATCACTAGTCAGGTGCTCTATCGACTGAGCTACCCAGGCCAATATCCAGCCCAAACCATTACATTAGCATAACCTTATCCTGGTATAAAGTGATCCTATAAATTGTTCAACCTAGATTGTGTTAAAGTGTGAAAAGGAACACAATGTACGAAAATGCCCATGAGAGAATTGATTTACAAAGGGTTACCCAATATACTCTTTCCTATTCTTGAAAATCATTCCAATACCCTTGAAAATGCCTCATTTTGTACATGAGTGAAACAATAAAAATAAACTTGTTGTCCTTCGTTCATTTTGGAAACTCTAAGGCCATAATAAAGAAAATTTCTAGATTCTCATTCCCGCTCGCCCCGAATTTTTACTCCCGCCTCAATTTTTTTTATTTTTGTTTTTCTTCGTCTTGATTCTGATTGTGATCAGTATTCAACTACCATTCATCTTTTCATTTTAAATCCAGCAAATGTCGCCATGATTTTGACAACGGACAAGATGGTAATTGCTGTAATATGTATTAAACAAGGATCACTGGTTGTGAAAGATTGGGATGATGTGAAGAGATTTGCATATTGAATTGGACCTCTACTATGACTTTTTCGGGCAGTATAGATAAATCTGCACCGATTGATCAGGTCAACAAAAAATTTGCAAAAATTCGGATGAAAATCTAAGAATTATTTTCAAAGCTTAAAATAAAACAAGCCTGAAAACCATAACAAGCAACATTTTCACTCTATCTATGGAAACCAGGAATAAAATGTTTATATAATAACCATACTTACAGTCATTTAACTCCTCCTTAGATTTAAAAGTCATATCTTCATTAAAGAACAAACTGTATGGGATGTTCAGACTTCCAGGAATGTGTCCATTTCTAGATTCTGTGATAAAAAGCTTCAAAAATTCATTAAAAACTTCATTTCTCCTGTAATCATTCTTTGATTTAGACCTTATACAATAAAACTGAAGATCTTTAAACAATTTCCTAAATTTTCATGCCCCCGTATCAAACATTTGGGGTATATAGTTTTTGCTCTGTCCGTCCGTCTGTCTAGCTGTCTGTCTGTTTGTCCGCAAAAATTTTAACCTTGCCCATAACTTTTGATTGCTTGAAGCTATGGATTTCATATTTCACATGTGTATTTCTTGTGACTACACCTTTCTTTGGGTACCGTCATATTTGACCTTGACCTTGGAGTTTGAACCAGTTTTGCAAAAATTTTACCAAACTGTAACCTTGGTCATAACTTTTGAATAGTTGGTGCTAGGGCTTTCATACCTCACAGGTGAAATCCTTGTGACAAGACCTTTCTTTGGATACCAACAACTTTGACCTTTTGACCTTGACTTTGGAGTTGACCTACTTTTGAAAAACTTTAACCTTCGCCATAACTTTGCAACGGTTGGTGATAGGGCTTTCATACTTCACATATGTAATCCTTGTGACAAGACTTTTCTTTGGATACCAACAACTGTGACCTTTTGACCTTGGAGTTTGACCTACTTTTGGAAAAACTTTAACCTTGGCCACAACTTTGGAACGGTTGGTGCTAGGGCTTTCATATTTCACATATGTAATCCTTTTTACAAGATCTTTCTTTGGATATTAACAACTGGGACCCTTTGACTGCTAGGGTTTTCATATTTCACAGGTATATTCCTCAATACCTTATACTGGGGCATCAGTGTTCACAAACACATCTTGTTTTTAAAAGCTTAAATCAGTTGTACACAAGTTTTCTAGGTAAGAAGTATAAAAAAGTGATGAAAAATGTAGGTATTCAAAGACTATGAAGCTCACCACAACGAATGTTATCTATAAGTAAGGCAAATATAACATCACATTTTTTTCTAGTAAGTGTGCATTCCAAGATCAATATCCATGCAAGTTTTGTTTAAGTAGGACTTATAGTTACTTGGAAATGGATTTGTTCCAAAAACTGTAACCTTTTCCCTAATCAAGAAAATGTCTGTCAGTTCCAACATCTGAAGCAAGTCTGGAAGTATTCATCCTTAGGTGCAAATTTAATCATACCAGGCCATATAATTATAAAGCTGCACTAAAAACATTACCCTGGTCATTCAGCATCTGAAGCAAGTCTGGAAGTGCCCATCCCTAGACACATCATCCATGCTAAATTAATTTAAAATTTGGCTAAAATTAACTCATCTGGAATCCGCATCCGAAGCAGGTTGGATAGTGTACATCCCTAGATGCATCATCCATGCAAGTTAAGTCCAGGTAGGGCTTATAGTTACTTGGGAATGGACCTGCTCCAAAAACTTGAACCTGCTCACTCATCTAGAAAATGTAGGTCAGATCCAGCATCAAAAGAAAGTCTGGTAGTGTCCATCACTAGATACATCATTCATGCAAGTTTGATCCAGGTAGGGCTTATAGTTACTTGGGAATGGACCTGCTCCAAAAACTTTAACCTGCTCACTCATCTGGAAAATATTGGTCAGATCCAGCATCTGAAGCAAGTCTGATAGTGTCCATCCCTAGATGCATCATCCAGGAAAGTTTAGTCCAGGTAGGACTTATATAAAGTTAATTAGTTACTTGGGAATGAACTTGCTCCAAAAAATTTAACCTGGACACCAACCATAGCTAATGCTGACGCTGGGGGTATAGCATAAGCTCATATCAACTTCGTCGAGGTGAGCTAAAAAGGTGTATTTATCTCAAGGATCAAAAAGCTGATGGGAATAGACCTATTCATACTTTTTTTTACATCAAAAGAAATCTAAATACCAAAATTAAAAATAAATTTTCAGAATGTACATGTATACTTGTAGAATGATTTCCTTTCATCTATCTTAGATAGACAATGGTATTTACACATTAGGTGACTCTGGATAACTCGAAGCCTGCAGGACAGTGGAGACCTTTGATAGATGAAGAGCTGGAGTTTTCAAAAGTTCAGAAAATTCTTGGTTATTTGATTAGTTTTAAAATCAGTCCAAACAGAAATTACTGATTCACAATAGTGTAAACTAATACATGTATATATATGTAATTTAACAATGATATTCCTTCATATTTTTTATTTTGTTCATTACCTGGTGTCTCCCCTAAGTCCCCCTCAAAAGCTTTAGCCTCTCTCACATCCACCACCTGCTCTGATTGCACCCTCACATTCCTTTGCATGTCCTCAAAGGTTCTCATTAAAGCTTTATTCAACTGGCCCTGGAAGTTGCCAGGCTTCTACAAATGTAAAAGAGGGAAATCATGTTTCAGATAATCAGAATATTTATACACGTGTATAAAACCCCCACTCCTCCCTTCAGTTATTCCATCTTCTTATTTGTTAAATAAAAAGATGCTATCTGGTGGGGATTTCATATCCAGGCCCAAGTTTTTGGTTTGTAAGTGTTTGAAGGGTATACTTCTTTCAGAATAGAAAGCTTTCCAGATCTGGATATAAACACTTCAAAGTGTGTTTATCTGAAGTGCTCATATTTTGGGGCCTGTAAATAGAATTTTAATGTACAAATCATTATTTATCCATAAATTGCAAAAATCAAATTTATCAACAACAAAAAAAATTCCTTGTATATTACCCAGGTATAGACAATTACAAAATTATTTGATGTCCAACCACAAATTTAGGATGAAGCAAATTCTGTTTTTTACCTTATCTGTTGAACAATATTTTTTAAATACATGTAAAACAGTTTACAATCTGTCTCAAGGTCACAAGCCAATTTTCTGTAGATATTTCCTCCTTTTAAAAGCAACTCGTGAAATTTGATAACCACATATGTAAATAATTTTTGTATACCTCCACACGCGGTTCTTCCACTGTGATTTCATAGCCATCTTCTGCCCATTTAATTAGACCTCCATCTAATACAGAAACATTCTCATGACCATATAGCTAGAAAAAAAATTAAAAGTTAACAAAACTAACAGCATCAATTACATTCCTTGATGCATCATCAATCAAGAGATTTTTTTATCCATGTAAGGCTTTCAGTCTATTTGAACAAGTTCAAAGACAAGTAAATTTATTACATTGTAACTGCCTTTTTTCAGCAACTCCATCAACATATTATCGCTATATTCTTTTATGAAGTATGCGAAAACTTGGCAAAATATATAAACTGTACTACTGTTTAGATAATATGCGGTGTAAAATAACTAATTTCTTGCTAGTAAATTAACAGATTTGCAATGCCTAATTTTCATCTTTCCTCTATTTATATATGAGTTACACATGTACCAGTACATTTTTTTTCCTGAGTACATCTTACATATTATTCAAACACAAAACCAATGTTTGGACAATATTAAATGAATAGAAGTTTTATTTTAGGATTAGTCTTACTACTTACCCTGAAGAGCCACCAGGTCCTGAATGCCAGTCGCATGTTCTGTCCATCATACACCACCACATGAGTGTCTGTAGACACACCTAATGATTGCACATACTTTGTCCAACATTCTGGTTCGGGGAGGTTCAGAGGGATTTCTTTTGTACCAATGCAACATTTATACAGGTCAAAATACACTGCATGTGGAATATGTGCCCTATGGTTACGTAGTAAAACGATTTTAAAATATACAGCATTTACCTTAATCAAACAAAAACAAGGGCCACAATGCTCACCCGAGTTACATTACTCAAATGATATGACTTTTCCTTCTGGTCCCAAACAAAGACAAAACTCACATATAAAAAATTTGTGAAGATCAGACAAATTATAATCTTGCCATGCTCCAAGAAATCTTTTATATCAACCCCTACATATCTTAGAGCTTACGTTAACCTGGGAAAAGGAGGGCATAAAAGAACTGGAATTCAATTTATATAAACAGGATGCTTGCATTAAAAAACATTAGTTATCTATCAGTTATCTAAAATGTACTTCTCAAAAAATCCTTAATATAACTCAATCATGAGTGACATACCTTAATGTTTTTTACAATCAAGAATTTTGGATATCTCGAAGTTTAATTTTGGTCCTGTTGAGTTCTAGATGATGAGGTTTAACTGTACATTTCAAAATGAAACTTTAAATCTGTTTTGCCATCCCATATTTACCGCTCATCAGCTAAACAAAATTTTCATAACTTGCATTAGATTGAACAAAGTGAGGGAGAATAAAAATATTTAAATTGACTTTGTTGTCTGGGATAAAGGTCACAATTGTAAAAAAAAAAATAATAATAATGGAAGACACAATGCAGATAAAAGTCAGATGAATGACAAACTTGATCAGGAAAGCCTTATGCTCAAGAGCCTAAAAAATCATCTATTTCACAAGCAATGTTCATTACATTAAGCAGTTTATAAAAAATAGAGGGGCTGAACATTTTGGCTTAACAATAGATTCAAAACCAATTTTGACTTACCAGGAAGGAAGGAAGTTTATTTTCCAGCTTTTTTATGGGGTGGGTGGGAATGGGAGTGAGAGTTATGAGAAGCAATATGGTAATTATACATATATCACACGGCTTCCAGGGTGATATACCAGAATGTTTGCCCCAGGGTGATAAGAAAGTCCTGGAGTGTTACATCACCCGATGCCGAAGGCAGAGGGTAATATAACACTCCAGGGCTTTCCTGTCACCGAGGGGCAAATACAAGTGTAGTCTACTTGTGTGCCAAGTTATATTGAAATCAGACCAAAACTGTAGGAGGAGTAGCGTTTTAAAGGAATTTCACAGAAATTTCTATTTTTAGTAACCATGGCAACACCGTTCATCGTAATCAAAAACCGATGCACTAAATTATGTGTCTTAGTGTAGTCTACTTGTGTGCCAAGTTATATTGAAATCAGACCATAACTGAAGGAGGAGTAGCGTTTTAAAGGAATTTTACAGAAATTTCTATTTTTAGTAACCATGGCAACACCGTTCATTGAAATCAAAAACCAATGCACTAAATTATGTATCTCAATGTAGTCTACTTGTGTTCCAAGTTATATTGAAATCAGACCAAAACTGTAGGAGGAGTAGCGTTTTAAAGGAATTTCACAGAAATTTCTATTTTTAGTAACCATGGCAATACCGTTCATCGAAATCAAAAACCGATGCAACTAAATTATGTATCTAAGTGTAGTCTACTTGTGTGCCAAGTTATATTGAAATCAGACCAAAACTGTAGGAGGAGTAGTGTTTTGAAAAATTGTTTACAGACAGATGGACAGACACACAGACAGACAGACAGCTAGACGGACGGACGACGGACACCTTACTATCGCATAAGCTGTTCTGGTCTCTGACCAGTAGAGCTAAAAACAACAGGTTTTTACCATTTTTTCAAGAAACTATAGATCTTTTCATCACATAACATTTATATAAACAATGGGGCATCCCTCTCCCATTTCCTATGGCCATCCTAACAGATTTGGGAAAAAGCACTTTTTGCAGGATTAATGTAACTGAGTTAAACATGTTAAAGATATGTATACTGTTTTTTCTTTCTTTAATTCATGATAAAACATGTAGATATATGTAGAGTTCTACATACAAAGCTACTTTACAGAAAATCTTAATGAAAACTTTTCATATAATTCTCACTGTTTATAAAGTTGCTCATATCCCTGCCCATTAGACTGCCAGGATGCATCTAACAATCTCAGGTCTGAGCTCAATTCATGAGATGCTGACAGCTGGTTTTTTAACCATGCAGAGGAAACAAATGTCTGGAAATTTCTTTTAATAAAGGCTGTGTGTGATCTGAAGTGTTTGGATGATGTTAAAATCAATCCAAGTATCATTCTACAAATAAGACAAATGCACATTATTATTTACATGTATATTGTTGGTTCACATCAATATGTTGTGTGTATATTATATCTTATCTCTCAAAGTAGAGAATTTTGCTATTGTCCCATTTTTGAACACACATACATACACTTAGTTTTATAATTTGGTGTATTGAAGAATGAAAGCATTACTTGACTACAGTTTTATAATTTGGTGTATTGAAGAATGAAAGCATTACTTGTCTACAGTTTTATAATTTGGTGTATTGAAGAATGAAAGCATTACTTGACTACAGTTTTATAATTTGGTGTATTGAAGAATGAAAGCATTTCTTGTCTACATTTTTTGTTATAGTAAGATAATAGGTGATAAATATGTAAAGGTTACAATTTTTGAAACTTGAAAGTTTTTTTTTTTCTGTTTATGCTGTTTGATCAAATGTAATCCCAATCAAATATCTGGAGTGTAGAAAGATCAATTTTTAATTAGATTAGAAAAATAAAGGAATTGGTGGATCTTCAAGAAACATGCAATTGGAATTAATTAATATATGTCACTCTGTTTGATTGTAGGGCAGAGCTTCAGCTTTCAGCAAGAAGCAAATCATTAAAGTGAATTACATCATTCTGCACAAAACAAACTAGCATTCCGGGTTTCCCCAAACTTCAATGTGTTTCATTGTATTAAAGTGTCAGGTGTGCAAAGTCAGATTTAAACGAGATGTGTTTGTGAAACACTGATGCCATCTTATGGCAGCTCAAAACCAAGGTAAAAGTTCTTTAAATAAAAGTCAAACTCCAAGGTCAATAGTTCTAAAATGTTGATACTCAAAGGTCTTGTATTGGTGTGAAAGAGAAAGGTTTTGTCACATGGAATGCAAAGGTGAAATATGACTTCAATAGGCAAGGTTAAAGTTTTTACAAGTGTAGGTCAAACTCAAAGGTCAGGAGGTCAAAAATGTTGGTACCCAGGAAAGGTCTTCTCACAAGGAATACACATGTTATACATAAAATTCCCAGTACCAACCAATCAAAAGTAAAAATATGGCCATGGTTAAAGTTGTCATGTTCCAAGGTCGATATCAAAAGGTCAAAAATGTTGGTATCAAAAGAAATATCTAGTCACATGGAATCAAGTGAAGTATAAAAGCCCTAAGACCAACCATTCAGAAGTTATGGCCAAGGACAAAGTTTGGTAAAATTTTGCAAAAGTAGGTCAGACTCCAAGGTCAAGATGCCTTATATTTAAGGAATGAATTTAAAAGCTACACAATTTATATGGTATAAACTGGGTTTGGGCTGTTTACCCATTATAAACTGCAAATCTGTACAAAATTTAAATGTAATGTCAGGCGGATTGATACGTTTTGACGCAAGTCATTGTGACGTAGGCAAAATAGTTTATACAATATAAAGTAATTTTTTTATCCAATCAAATGGTGTGTCATAACTAGAATTAAATCATATTGGTACCCGAAGGAAGTTCTTGTCATAAGGAATATACATGTGAAATATGAAAGCACTAGCACCAATCATTCAAATGTTTTGGACAAGATTAAAGTTTTTGCGGACAAACAGATTTACAGACAAACAGACGGACGGATGGACAGATCAAAAACTGTATACCCCCGAATCTTCGACTAAAGGTGCATAAAAGGCTAGCAATTTTCTGCATTGAAAACATTAAGATTCATATAGACCCCTATTCTGTAACTTACCATGTGCTATGTATTAACGGATCAACCCGACATTGTTTTAAAAATTAACAAATGATGCAAAAATATCAGAGAGACATAATTATGTGTCTGAAAATATATGATTTTCTACATAGTGGTAAAATCATACAAAATATTCAATAACACTGAATATAAATTTTATACCTCAATTGTTATCGAATCTGGCACTTTCTCATTTCAGATTTGAAAATCAAACAGGAAACACATTGTACACAGTAAAACAGCACAAAGAAACAAATATTCCGGATATTTTGTGTTCCAACCTTTTATTTTATGAAAAATCAACAATGTATTTGAGCATGAAATCTTAAGACTTAATGTATGTAAAATAGAAATAATTTCATCGATTTGATTTATGCTTTTTTATGAAATAATAATAATCCGTAACTTTGCCAATATGTGTACAATGTCATTTCCGGTATTGTGCAGTTGACCTTCGTGAAAATATACATTGCCATTGCCATTGGTTCTTCAGGGCCATGGCTGGGGCTGCACAAGCAAAACAAGAGATGCCCCCGAAAGGGGGCTATGGTCCTATAGATTACAGTAGAAAAATATTTAAAAGAATACCAGGTAAGTTAAAGTACATTTTGCATTAGGTTTTAAAGGGAGACGGCGGGGGGGGGGGGGGGATTACCGATACCAGCTAGTTTGGGTTTCTTCAGTGAGAAGTTATAATATTTATTTACTACATCTTAAGCAGTTGGTTATGACAGAACTGTCACCAGCATTTTTTCATCTTATCAAAAGGGTAACCATTTCCAAACTACGGTAAAAGAAGATTACAACGAACACACTTAAAAAGAATTCACATTAACAGTGAAGTTGTTTTCCCTGTAGTTTTAAAACGTATTATGAACATAATGGATATAACAAATTACATGTACGTTTATAATGAATCACAGTACTTCACAGGTAATTTTAGAAATAGAGCAGAGAAAAAATATATTTCCTGGTACGTTGAAATTTCAGTTGGTTGTTAGGATAAAATTGAGGAATTACACTGGGGAACTATATGTTAGACTAATGTTTATTATTTTCACATATATTTAATAGGGAAGAAGAAGAGGGTATCAATACCCAAAGATACCTTAGTTCAATACATTTTAAAAAATAATAATAAAAAAAAATCATGTATCTTGGGTTGATAATGTAACCTTTTTGTTAGACCACTATATAACTATGATTGAACTTAAGTATCTCAAACATCAATATCTTTAATGCCATTAATGCCATGGATATGTTCATTGTTTAAGTCATTTGGAAGTCCCAACCACTTGTTCTCATGTACATATATTATATCTGCAATATCTCACATCCTTGGACATCTTGAAGTTTTTCCACATTGCCATTGAGTTCAAGACAACAAGGTTTGACTGTATATACATTTTGTGTGATTAGACATCATTTGTGTGCATTTCATTTATTTATTTTAGGGAAGTATATCTTGGGTGGTTTTTTTGGAGTCACAGCATATTCATGGTGGTTGATGTGCGAGACTAGAAGATACAATAAGTAAGTATTTGCTTTTAATATTATATGACTCTCTGCTCTTGATGGTTAATATTTTATTTTACAGGATGGGGGGAGGTAGGGATGGGATTATTTTACAATGTCAAAATAAATACAATAAAAAGCAGGGTTTTAAACTAACTTGTGATCCTTGATAGCCATGTAGGCTACTGAACCTTGCAATTCTGGGGCCCACATCAAAATTTATTCGCCCACAGATTATCACACCTTCTATTGAATATAAAAACAACAACCCCATTTTTCGTTTTTTTTATCATGTGCTTCATGTTTCTTTTCTATCCATTGTAACATTATGCACCACTTATCTAAATTTGAAGTGGAACTCTTCTGTTTATGAAGATTGATATGATCATTCAATATCATATATAGAGCACATGGCAGGTTTTCATTCACCATGTTCACATACAACAGTACTTTTTGGTTTCTTGGGCTCTTTGACCCGTCAATGCCACATTGTGCCTGACACAATCACTTAGATGCTTTATGTATAAGTACTTCTTACAGGTAATTATAAAGCACTTTACTGATTATGAAATTTTTCAAGAGAAAAATACAAAACATTCGGACAAAATTGAAAAAAAATATTTATTATCATAAATTTTCTAATTGCCATGTGGGCAACTTGAATGTTATTCTAAGTTGCCCACATGGAACATTAGTCACAAATTGCGAGTGGGCGACTGTTAATTTCAAACCCTGAAAAGTATGATTAATTTAAAAGTTTAGGCTTCTCCATGTAGCGTATGTTCATTTTTGTTCAAATTATGGCCCATGGACAATAGGCATATTTATGCATTTTCACTGTATAATCAATATAGCCACGCCCAACACTAGAACCCCTCACCCAGGGACCATGAATTTCACAATTTTGGAAGAGGCACCCTGCTCATCACCATGCAATTAGTTTGTCTAATATCAAGGAGCAGAGAAGATTTCTGAAGAATTAATGCATTTTCACTATATGATCAAATGATCCCTACCCTAACACCAGAACTCCTGACCCTTGGTCAATGACTTTCACAATTTTGGAAAAGGCACCCTTGATTATCATAAACATGCATTTACTTTGTCTGCTAAATATACAAGGGGGAGGGAGGGTGCATTTTGACACTCTGATCTATAAAGCCCCACCCTAATGTCAGAACCTCTGACCCAGAGGCCATGAATTTCACAATTTTTGAAGAGACACTCTTGGTTTTTATAATCATGCACTTAGTTTTTCTATCTAACACCCAGGAACAGAGAGGAAGATGTTTGAAGAATTCATGCATTTTCACTATTATCTGTAGAGCCCCACCCTAATATAGAACCCTTAACCAAGAGACCATGAAATGAACAATTTTAGTAGAGGACTAAATGCTTATCAAAATCATGTCAAGTCTGGCTGCTTGATGTCCTGGTGAGGAGTAAAGAAGAAAAATTTTAAAGATAGCATGATTTTTTATGATTTTAGTCTGATCCCTCAGGCCCAAAGGGGGGGGGGGGGGCATGAAATTTATTTATTTTTTGTTCCCCTTCATCCATAGATGCTCTAAGCCAAAATTGTTGAAATCGGTTCAGCAGTTTCAGAGAAAAAGCTTAAAATGTTCAAATGTTAATGCACGATGGACGACACAGGGGGAAGAACAAAAACAGATAGGTATAGGTCACCGGAATGACTCAGGTGACCTACTAACAGGATGGTCAATCCAGAAGAGACACAATCTCATCAGAAACCTCTTGTTATATGATTTATGTTGGTGTTTTCTTTCATTTGCTTCTTTTTTGATGTAAATTCTTTACATTTTGACTTCTGTTTCAGAATGCTCTATTTAGAAAATACAGAGGCAAACATTGCTCTAGAACCATTGATAATGGCTGAAAATGACAGACTGTAAGTCAGTTACCTGGTAATTTATGATATATGTATTTACTGATATTAAGATTATTTTAATTTGAAAATAATATAGAAACAAATACTGGTATTCAAGATGGCAAGGAAGAAAACAATGAAAAAGATCCTATATACATATTTACTACATATTTCCAAATTTCTCTACCAGTTTTGAAACTAGCATGCCTTCTTTAATTTTCATTTTTTTTTTTTTATATACAGAGCTTTGAAGTTGTTTCGCCAGAATTGTGAGCTAGAAGAAGAGCTGATGCAGAATAATCCAGATTGGAAAACTGGCACCATATTTGGAGTCCCAATCTTTTATGATACAAGAAATCGGGGTATTATGCCATTCGGAAGAGAACTGTATAATCACACAAATGTAGGATCCTGGTATTTGTTGGACAGACAATATCATTGGAAAGCACTTGATACAAAATTTGAGTGGTTCCCCAAGAAGAATCCAGCACCTCCTGAGAATTAGAAAAGATCAAGATTTCTCAAATGATGTAACATTTTATTTCATTGCCAGAACTAAAGCAAAATTTTCTATTAAAGTTTGAGTACATCTCCATTTTTTGGTTTTATTGTTTCTTATGACAACATTTGTAAATACATAGCTGTACATCTAATGTTACACAACATCAGTGGCAGATTGATCCTTCTCTATAGATTGTTGTTGAATGCATGAGCCTCTCTCTCTCTCTCTCTATAAATATACAGTATATTTGTGCGTATTATTATTATTATTCATACTTGAAAGTGTTTCTATTACTAGCGAATGTTAAACACATAAAATGTGTTCACCTGTTCACTGTAAAATTACAGTAAAACAGGTAAATGTTACAGCAAGGCCTAATTTAAAATTTCATTTCCCCTTCTTGACATCATTTTGACTTGAGGCAGATGTTGACATCTTGTTTTTCTGCTTTATTTAGTATTGCACCTTCAACTGAAAGAAACTAGGAACATTTTGTTCACAGGAACCACTATGAAAGCACTAAAGTCGTTGCAATTTTCTGTTTAGTCACAAAAGGAGGTTAGCATGCTGATCAGTCTATAGTGTATCTCTGTTCAGCGCATAAAGCAGTACAGTTAGAATATTTTTAAATACACATGTACACATGTATTATCCCCATCATGTATAAGATGCCACATAAAATCAGTTTGGAATTGTCATGCACTTGGGCTTTCATCAGTCCATGCAAGCACTTTGATTCATGACTGATAAAAACAACACGCGTTTGCTATCCATGAAGGCGCCTTTTCTACACTGAAAAGGATCGTTTTTGAACAAGTTCAGTGTTCTCGGCAGTCCCAGCACTCTGTGTTACATTCTCAGGTATCTTGCTCCACAATCTCTACAATTTCTCCGAATAATTCCCGTCGTAATTCGGCAACCTGCTTGGCCTTTTCATGAGCATAGTCAAAATAGACGTTTCTCATACCCTCGACGACTGCCAAGCGAAGCCGAAGATGATAGCGGAAGGTTCTTTTGTTCATTTTCTTGGCATTGTCGTACCTTTTCTGTAGTGAAGTTAAAGCTCTGTTTAACATGACGATTTGTTCACATGATCTTCGAAATCTCCTCTCAGCATCCACAAGATTCACTCTTCTTTCGTTGTAAATTCGGTTGGAACGTCTTATCCTCGTCATATTAGTGTCTGGTTTATTAGATTAGAGGGTTACCTCGAGTAGAGCACACCTACCCGTTTGTTGTCCCAGTATGTTGATAAAAGCCCCCTCCAGATAAAGAACCGGCTGAATTGTCACCTGCCAGTTGCCTTGGTAACAGCTGTCAGGCCGTGCGAGTTGTGACTTTGTATTCTTTATCTCCCGATAATTTTAAATCCTGAGGGAAAAAATTCACAGCAGATAATTTTTGTAGTTATTAATTTCTATTTCTTGACACTTGTATAATTGCTTTATAACGCGCTACAATAGTATACAAGTGACGTGAAGAACAATTGATTAATTTACCCTTTAAACATTTAAATACCAGATTTTTTTAACAGTGGAATATATGTAAGATTTTGCTTAAATATTCATAAAGTTTTATTTAAAAAAAAGATCGGTTAATTGAAATGTTTGCAGAATTATATGTTTAAAATTAAATATAGTTTCTTTTAGAAAACACTTTGGAAAAAAACTTCAATCTCGCCGAATTCTTTAATATCCGATTAATGTAGGCACATGCATTCATATATTTTAAAAAACCTAATATACTGATTCATTTTGACTTCTTTGAAACGCACGTAGTCACTTATTTATTAAAATATTTTTTCACATTACTATGAAGATACGAATTCGTTTTTAAGAAGCATTTTTAGAGTTATATTTGCTATACGTCCTAGAGACACAAAACCGTTAGCTTCCAATTGTAAACATTACACTTTCCTTTCCCGATAAATAATATTTCCAGAAATAAAAATAAGTACATGGCTATATAAAAATATTTCAATTTCAGAATATTTAAAAATTTGTATGACAAGCACCAGACAAAGTTATATTTATATCGACGATTAACTGACAAAAAATTAGTCGCATGTCGACATAAGTTAACTCGCATGTCGACAAAATAAGTCACATGAAAATTCGATTTTTTTTTAATTTCATATCTTTAGCCTTTGTTTAGATCCTGCACATACAAAATTTTATTTTAAAATCAGAAAAATGTCCATAACTTGGACCGGAAGCGAAGTAGGTTTTTCAGGTTTGAGCAAGTTTTTTGGCATTTGAGATAGTTGGACCCCCTCCCCTTTTTCTGCTGCAAGAATATAATAATGATTATAGAGCCATTATCAAACTGTAAAAGTTTTGTCACGCAAGTCCAGTCCACAATTAATTCCATTAGTAAAAGTGAGACTGAGATCAAAAGTGAGCTCGTCTAAGTTTTATGGCCCCGGAGCCAGCTCTAAGTTGGAAACTAGTCCTTGTCTGAAAAATTCATGATGCTCAGGTGACAGTCAAGGCCCATGGGATCTTCTTACGAAATCTCGGGGACAAATTGGTATACAGCATTTACCTTAATCAAACAAAAACAAGGGCCACAATGCTCACCCGAGTTACATTACTCAAATGATATGACTTTTCCTTCTGGTCCCAAACAAAGACAAAACTCACATATAAAAAATTTGTGAAGATCAGACAAATTATAATCTTGCCATGCTCCAAGAAATCTTTTATATCAACCCCTACATATCTTAGAGCTTACGTTAACCTGGGAAAAGGAGGGCATAAAAGAACTGGAATTCAATTTATATAAACAGGATGCTTGCATTAAAAAACATTAGTTATCTATCAGTTATCTAAAATGTACTTCTCAAAAAATCCTTAATATAACTCAATCATGAGTGACATACCTTAATGTTTTTTACAATCAAGAATTTTGGATATCTCGAAGTTTAATTTTGGTCCTGTTGAGTTCTAGATGATGAGGTTTAACTGTACATTTCAAAATGAAACTTTAAATCTGTTTTGCCATCCCATATTTACCGCTCATCAGCTAAACAAAATTTTCATAACTTGCATTAGATTGAACAAAGTGAGGGAGAATAAAAATATTTAAATTGACTTTGTTGTCTGGGATAAAGGTCACAATTGTAAAAAAAAAAAAAATAATAATGGAAGACACAATGCAGATAAAAGTCAGATGAATGACAAACTTGATCAGGAAAGCCTTATGCTCAAGAGCCTAAAAAATCATCTATTTCACAAGCAATGTTCATTACATTAAGCAGTTTATAAAAAATAGAGGGGCTGAACATTTTGGCTTAACAATAGATTCAAAACCAATTTTGACTTACCAGGAAGGAAGGAAGTTTATTTTCCAGCTTTTTTATGGGGTGGGTGGGAATGGGAGTGAGAGTTATGAGAAGCAATATGGTAATTATACATATATCACACGGCTTCCAGGGTGATATACCAGAATGTTTGCCCCAGGGTGATAAGAAAGTCCTGGAGTGTTACATCACCCGATGCCGAAGGCAGAGGGTAATATAACACTCCAGGGCTTTCCTGTCACCGAGGGGCAAATACAAGTGTAGTCTACTTGTGTGCCAAGTTATATTGAAATCAGACCAAAACTGTAGGAGGAGTAGCGTTTTAAAGGAATTTCACAGAAATTTCTATTTTTAGTAACCATGGCAACACCGTTCATCGTAATCAAAAACCGATGCACTAAATTATGTGTCTTAGTGTAGTCTACTTGTGTGCCAAGTTATATTGAAATCAGACCATAACTGAAGGAGGAGTAGCGTTTTAAAGGAATTTTACAGAAATTTCTATTTTTAGTAACCATGGCAACACCGTTCATTGAAATCAAAAACCAATGCACTAAATTATGTATCTCAATGTAGTCTACTTGTGTTCCAAGTTATATTGAAATCAGACCAAAACTGTAGGAGGAGTAGCGTTTTAAAGGAATTTCACAGAAATTTCTATTTTTAGTAACCATGGCAATACCGTTCATCGAAATCAAAAACCGATGCAACTAAATTATGTATCTAAGTGTAGTCTACTTGTGTGCCAAGTTATATTGAAATCAGACCAAAACTGTAGGAGGAGTAGTGTTTTGAAAAATTGTTTACAGACAGATGGACAGACACACAGACAGACAGACAGCTAGACGGACGGACGACGGACACCTTACTATCGCATAAGCTGTTCTGGTCTCTGACCAGTAGAGCTAAAAACAACAGGTTTTTACCATTTTTTCAAGAAACTATAGATCTTTTCATCACATAACATTTATATAAACAATGGGGCATCCCTCTCCCATTTCCTATGGCCATCCTAACAGATTTGGGAAAAAGCACTTTTTGCAGGATTAATGTAACTGAGTTAAACATGTTAAAGATATGTATACTGTTTTTTCTTTCTTTAATTCATGATAAAACATGTAGATATATGTAGAGTTCTACATACAAAGCTACTTTACAGAAAATCTTAATGAAAACTTTTCATATAATTCTCACTGTTTATAAAGTTGCTCATATCCCTGCCCATTAGACTGCCAGGATGCATCTAACAATCTCAGGTCTGAGCTCAATTCATGAGATGCTGACAGCTGGTTTTTTAACCATGCAGAGGAAACAAATGTCTGGAAATTTCTTTTAATAAAGGCTGTGTGTGATCTGAAGTGTTTGGATGATGTTAAAATCAATCCAAGTATCATTCTACAAATAAGACAAATGCACATTATTATTTACATGTATATTGTTGGTTCACATCAATATGTTGTGTGTATATTATATCTTATCTCTCAAAGTAGAGAATTTTGCTATTGTCCCATTTTTGAACACACATACATACACTTAGTTTTATAATTTGGTGTATTGAAGAATGAAAGCATTACTTGACTACAGTTTTATAATTTGGTGTATTGAAGAATGAAAGCATTACTTGTCTACAGTTTTATAATTTGGTGTATTGAAGAATGAAAGCATTACTTGACTACAGTTTTATAATTTGGTGTATTGAAGAATGAAAGCATTTCTTGTCTACATTTTTTGTTATAGTAAGATAATAGGTGATAAATATGTAAAGGTTACAATTTTTGAAACTTGAAAGTTTTTTTTTTTCTGTTTATGCTGTTTGATAAAATGTAATCCCAATCAAATATCTGGAGTGTAGAAAGATCAATTTTTAATTAGATTAGAAAAATAAAGGAATTGGTGGATCTTCAAGAAACATGCAATTGGAATTAATTAATATATGTCACTCTGTTTGATTGTAGGGCAGAGCTTCAGCTTTCAGCAAGAAGCAAATCATTAAAGTGAATTACATCATTCTGCACAAAACAAACTAGCATTCCGGGTTTCCCCAAACTTCAATGTGTTTCATTGTATTAAAGTGTCAGGTGTGCAAAGTCAGATTTAAACGAGATGTGTTTGTGAAACACTGATGCCATCTTATGGCAGCTCAAAACCAAGGTAAAAGTTCTTTAAATAAAAGTCAAACTCCAAGGTCAATAGTTCTAAAATGTTGATACTCAAAGGTCTTGTATTGGTGTGAAAGAGAAAGGTTTTGTCACATGGAATGCAAAGGTGAAATATGACTTCAATAGGCAAGGTTAAAGTTTTTACAAGTGTAGGTCAAACTCAAAGGTCAGGAGGTCAAAAATGTTGGTACCCAGGAAAGGTCTTCTCACAAGGAATACACATGTTATACATAAAATTCCCAGTACCAACCAATCAAAAGTAAAAATATGGCCATGGTTAAAGTTGTCATGTTCCAAGGTCGATATCAAAAGGTCAAAAATGTTGGTATCAAAAGAAATATCTAGTCACATGGAATCAAGTGAAGTATAAAAGCCCTAAGACCAACCATTCAGAAGTTATGGCCAAGGACAAAGTTTGGTAAAATTTTGCAAAAGTAGGTCAGACTCCAAGGTCAAGATGCCTTATATTTAAGGAATGAATTTAAAAGCTACACAATTTATATGGTATAAACTGGGTTTGGGCTGTTTACCCATTATAAACTGCAAATCTGTACAAAATTTAAATGTAATGTCAGGCGGATTGATACGTTTTGACGCAAGTCATTGTGACGTAGGCAAAATAGTTTATACAATATAAAGTAATTTTTTTATCCAATCAAATGGTGTGTCATAACTAGAATTAAATCATATTGGTACCCGAAGGAAGTTCTTGTCATAAGGAATATACATGTGAAATATGAAAGCACTAGCACCAATCATTCAAATGTTTTGGACAAGATTAAAGTTTTTGCGGACAAACAGATTTACAGACAAACAGACGGACGGATGGACAGATCAAAAACTGTATACCCCCGAATCTTCGACTAAAGGTGCATAAAAGGCTAGCAATTTTCTGCATTGAAAACATTAAGATTCATATAGACCCCTATTCTGTAACTTACCATGTGCTATGTATTAACGGATCAACCCGACATTGTTTTAAAAATTAACAAATGATGCAAAAATATCAGAGAGACATAATTATGTGTCTGAAAATATATGATTTTCTACATAGTGGTAAAATCATACAAAATATTCAATAACACTGAATATAAATTTTATACCTCAATTGTTATCGAATCTGGCACTTTCTCATTTCAGATTTGAAAATCAAACAGGAAACACATTGTACACAGTAAAACAGCACAAAGAAACAAATATTCCGGATATTTTGTGTTCCAACCTTTTATTTTATGAAAAATCAACAATGTATTTGAGCATGAAATCTTAAGACTTAATGTATGTAAAATAGAAATAATTTCATCGATTTGATTTATGCTTTTTTATGAAATAATAATAATCCGTAACTTTGCCAATATGTGTACAATGTCATTTCCGGTATTGTGCAGTTGACCTTCGTGAAAATATACATTGCCATTGCCATTGGTTCTTCAGGGCCATGGCTGGGGCTGCACAAGCAAAACAAGAGATGCCCCCGAAAGGGGGCTATGGTCCTATAGATTACAGTAGAAAAATATTTAAAAGAATACCAGGTAAGTTAAAGTACATTTTGCATTAGGTTTTAAAGGGAGACGGCGGGGGGGGGGGGGGGGGATTACCGATACCAGCTAGTTTGGGTTTCTTCAGTGAGAAGTTATAATATTTATTTACTACATCTTAAGCAGTTGGTTATGACAGAACTGTCACCAGCATTTTTTCATCTTATCAAAAGGGTAACCATTTCCAAACTACGGTAAAAGAAGATTACAACGAACACACTTAAAAAGAATTCACATTAACAGTGAAGTTGTTTTCCCTGTAGTTTTAAAACGTATTATGAACATAATGGATATAACAAATTACATGTACGTTTATAATGAATCACAGTACTTCACAGGTAATTTTAGAAATAGAGCAGAGAAAAAATATATTTCCTGGTACGTTGAAATTTCAGTTGGTTGTTAGGATAAAATTGAGGAATTACACTGGGGAACTATATGTTAGACTAATGTTTATTATTTTCACATATATTTAATAGGGAAGAAGAAGAGGGTATCAATACCCAAAGATACCTTAGTTCAATACATTTTAAAAAATAATAATAAAAAAAAATCATGTATCTTGGGTTGATAATGTAACCTTTTTGTTAGACCACTATATAACTATGATTGAACTTAAGTATCTCAAACATCAATATCTTTAATGCCATTAATGCCATGGATATGTTCATTGTTTAAGTCATTTGGAAGTCCCAACCACTTGTTCTCATGTACATATATTATATCTGCAATATCTCACATCCTTGGACATCTTGAAGTTTTTCCACATTGCCATTGAGTTCAAGACAACAAGGTTTGACTGTATATACATTTTGTGTGATTAGACATCATTTGTGTGCATTTCATTTATTTATTTTAGGGAAGTATATCTTGGGTGGTTTTTTTGGAGTCACAGCATATTCATGGTGGTTGATGTGCGAGACTAGAAGATACAATAAGTAAGTATTTGCTTTTAATATTATATGACTCTCTGCTCTTGATGGTTAATATTTTATTTTACAGGATGGGGGGAGGTAGGGATGGGATTATTTTACAATGTCAAAATAAATACAATAAAAAGCAGGGTTTTAAACTAACTTGTGATCCTTGATAGCCATGTAGGCTACTGAACCTTGCAATTCTGGGGCCCACATCAAAATTTATTCGCCCACAGATTATCACACCTTCTATTGAATATAAAAACAACAACCCCATTTTTCGTTTTTTTTATCATGTGCTTCATGTTTCTTTTCTATCCATTGTAACATTATGCACCACTTATCTAAATTTGAAGTGGAACTCTTCTGTTTATGAAGATTGATATGATCATTCAATATCATATATAGAGCACATGGCAGGTTTTCATTCACCATGTTCACATACAACAGTACTTTTTGGTTTCTTGGGCTCTTTGACCCGTCAATGCCACATTGTGCCTGACACAATCACTTAGATGCTTTATGTATAAGTACTTCTTACAGGTAATTATAAAGCACTTTACTGATTATGAAATTTTTCAAGAGAAAAATACAAAACATTCGGACAAAATTGAAAAAAAATATTTATTATCATAAATTTTCTAATTGCCATGTGGGCAACTTGAATGTTATTCTAAGTTGCCCACATGGAACATTAGTCACAAATTGCGAGTGGGCGACTGTTAATTTCAAACCCTGAAAAGTATGATTAATTTAAAAGTTTAGGCTTCTCCATGTAGCGTATGTTCATTTTTGTTCAAATTATGGCCCATGGACAATAGGCATATTTATGCATTTTCACTGTATAATCAATATAGCCACGCCCAACACTAGAACCCCTCACCCAGGGACCATGAATTTCACAATTTTGGAAGAGGCACCCTGCTCATCACCATGCAATTAGTTTGTCTAATATCAAGGAGCAGAGAAGATTTCTGAAGAATTAATGCATTTTCACTATATGATCAAATGATCCCTACCCTAACACCAGAACTCCTGACCCTTGGTCAATGACTTTCACAATTTTGGAAAAGGCACCCTTGATTATCATAAACATGCATTTACTTTGTCTGCTAAATATACAAGGGGGAGGGAGGGTGCATTTTGACACTCTGATCTATAAAGCCCCACCCTAATGTCAGAACCTCTGACCCAGAGGCCATGAATTTCACAATTTTTGAAGAGACACTCTTGGTTTTTATAATCATGCACTTAGTTTTTCTATCTAACACCCAGGAACAGAGAGGAAGATGTTTGAAGAATTCATGCATTTTCACTATTATCTGTAGAGCCCCACCCTAATATAGAACCCTTAACCAAGAGACCATGAAATGAACAATTTTAGTAGAGGACTAAATGCTTATCAAAATCATGTCAAGTCTGGCTGCTTGATGTCCTGGTGAGGAGTAAAGAAGAAAAATTTTAAAGATAGCATGATTTTTTATGATTTTAGTCTGATCCCTCAGGCCCAAAGGGGGGGGGGGGCATGAAATTTATTTATTTTTTGTTCCCCTTCATCCATAGATGCTCTAAGCCAAAATTGTTGAAATCGGTTCAGCAGTTTCAGAGAAAAAGCTTAAAATGTTCAAATGTTAATGCACGATGGACGACACAGGGGGAAGAACAAAAACAGATAGGTATAGGTCACCGGAATGACTCAGGTGACCTACTAACAGGATGGTCAATCCAGAAGAGACACAATCTCATCAGAAACCTCTTGTTATATGATTTATGTTGGTGTTTTCTTTCATTTGCTTCTTTTTTGATGTAAATTCTTTACATTTTGACTTCTGTTTCAGAATGCTCTATTTAGAAAATACAGAGGCAAACATTGCTCTAGAACCATTGATAATGGCTGAAAATGACAGACTGTAAGTCAGTTACCTGGTAATTTATGATATATGTATTTACTGATATTAAGATTATTTTAATTTGAAAATAATATAGAAACAAATACTGGTATTCAAGATGGCAAGGAAGAAAACAATGAAAAAGATCCTATATACATATTTACTACATATTTCCAAATTTCTCTACCAGTTTTGAAACTAGCATGCCTTCTTTAATTTTCATTTTTTTTTTTTATATACAGAGCTTTGAAGTTGTTTCGCCAGAATTGTGAGCTAGAAGAAGAGCTGATGCAGAATAATCCAGATTGGAAAACTGGCACCATATTTGGAGTCCCAATCTTTTATGATACAAGAAATCGGGGTATTATGCCATTCGGAAGAGAACTGTATAATCACACAAATGTAGGATCCTGGTATTTGTTGGACAGACAATATCATTGGAAAGCACTTGATACAAAATTTGAGTGGTTCCCCAAGAAGAATCCAGCACCTCCTGAGAATTAGAAAAGATCAAGATTTCTCAAATGATGTAACATTTTATTTCATTGCCAGAACTAAAGCAAAATTTTCTATAAAAGTTTGAGTACATCTCCATTTTTTGGTTTTATTGTTTCTTATGACAACATTTGTAAATACATAGCTGTACATCTAATGTTACACAACATCAGTGGCAGATTGATCCTTCTCTATAGATTGTTGTTGAATGCATGAGCCTCTCTCTCTCTCTCTCTATAAATATACAGTATATTTGTGCGTATTATTATTATTATTCATACTTGAAAGTGTTTCTATTACTAGCGAATGTTAAACACATAAAATGTGTTCACCTGTTCACTGTAAAATTACAGTAAAACAGGTAAATGTTACAGCAAGGCCTAATTTAAAATTTCATTTCCCCTTCTTGACATCATTTTGACTTGAGGCAGATGTTGACATCTTGTTTTTCTGCTTTATTTAGTATTGCACCTTCAACTGAAAGAAACTAGGAACATTTTGTTCACAGGAACCACTATGAAAGCACTAAAGTCGTTGCAATTTTCTGTTTAGTCACAAAAGGAGGTTAGCATGCTGATCAGTCTATAGTGTATCTCTGTTCAGCGCATAAAGCAGTACAGTTAGAATATTTTTAAATACACATGTACACATGTATTATCCCCATCATGTATAAGATGCCACATAAAATCAGTTTGGAATTGTCATGCACTTGGGCTTTCATCAGTCCATGCAAGCACTTTGATTCATGACTGATAAAAACAACACGCGTTTGCTATCCATGAAGGCGCCTTTTCTACACTGAAAAGGATCGTTTTTGAACAAGTTCAGTGTTCTCGGCAGTCCCAGCACTCTGTGTTACATTCTCAGGTATCTTGCTCCACAATCTCTACAATTTCTCCGAATAATTCCCGTCGTAATTCGGCAACCTGCTTGGCCTTTTCATGAGCATAGTCAAAATAGACGTTTCTCATACCCTCGACGACTGCCAAGCGAAGCCGAAGATGATAGCGGAAGGTTCTTTTGTTCATTTTCTTGGCATTGTCGTACCTTTTCTGTAGTGAAGTTAAAGCTCTGTTTAACATGACGATTTGTTCACATGATCTTCGAAATCTCCTCTCAGCATCCACAAGATTCACTCTTCTTTCGTTGTAAATTCGGTTGGAACGTCTTATCCTCGTCATATTAGTGTCTGGTTTATTAGATTAGAGGGTTACCTCGAGTAGAGCACACCTACCCGTTTGTTGTCCCAGTATGTTGATAAAAGCCCCCTCCAGATAAAGAACCGGCTGAATTGTCACCTGCCAGTTGCCTTGGTAACAGCTGTCAGGCCGTGCGAGTTGTGACTTTGTATTCTTTATCTCCCGATAATTTTAAATCCTGAGGGAAAAAATTCACAGCAGATAATTTTTGTAGTTATTAATTTCTATTTCTTGACACTTGTATAATTGCTTTATAACGCGCTACAATAGTATACAAGTGACGTGAAGAACAATTGATTAATTTACCCTTTAAACATTTAAATACCAGATTTTTTTAACAGTGGAATATATGTAAGATTTTGCTTAAATATTCATAAAGTTTTATTTAAAAAAAAGATCGGTTAATTGAAATGTTTGCAGAATTATATGTTTAAAATTAAATATAGTTTCTTTTAGAAAACACTTTGGAAAAAAACTTCAATCTCGCCGAATTCTTTAATATCCGATTAATGTAGGCACATGCATTCATATATTTTAAAAAACCTAATATACTGATTCATTTTGACTTCTTTGAAACGCACGTAGTCACTTATTTATTAAAATATTTTTTCACATTACTATGAAGATACGAATTCGTTTTTAAGAAGCATTTTTAGAGTTATATTTGCTATACGTCCTAGAGACACAAAACCGTTAGCTTCCAATTGTAAACATTACACTTTCCTTTCCCGATAAATAATATTTCCAGAAATAAAAATAAGTACATGGCTATATAAAAATATTTCAATTTCAGAATATTTAAAAATTTGTATGACAAGCACCAGACAAAGTTATATTTATATCGACGATTAACTGACAAAAAATTAGTCGCATGTCGACATAAGTTAACTCGCATGTCGACAAAATAAGTCACATGAAAATTCGATTTTTTTTTAATTTCATATCTTTAGCCTTTGTTTAGATCCTGCACATACAAAATTTTATTTTAAAATCAGAAAAATGTCCATAACTTGGACCGGAAGCGAAGTAGGTTTTTCAGGTTTGAGCAAGTTTTTTGGCATTTGAGATAGTTGGACCCCCTCCCCTTTTTCTGCTGCAAGAATATAATAATGATTATAGAGCCATTATCAAACTGTAAAAGTTTTGTCACGCAAGTCCAGTCCACAATTAATTCCATTAGTAAAAGTGAGACTGAGATCAAAAGTGAGCTCGTCTAAGTTTTATGGCCCCGGAGCCAGCTCTAAGTTGGAAACTAGTCCTTGTCTGAAAAATTCATGATGCTCAGGTGACAGTCAAGGCCCATGGGATCTTCTTACGAAATCTCGGGGACAAATTGGTATTATTCAATCTATATAGTCACCGTTTTCATGAAACAGATGGAATATGAAAAAATGTCTCCGTAACTGCTCTGCCAATTCTTTAAAACATTAAAGTATTATTCATGCATTGTCAAACTAATTTCTGCTTTAATATGGAACAACTTTTCACTGATGCCATGGAAACAAAAAAAGGAGGATTGTTTGACCGATGACTGTAGACTAGTGATAAGGTGTTTGCTTCGTGAACGGGAGGCCCGGGTTCAATTCTCGTTCGTGCAACCGGATCCTGAAGTGTTGATCGATTACCACCACCCCCTTTAACTAAAAAAAAAAAATTAGTAAGAGCTTATAATATCTAAAAACATTATACTTCCTCGTCAATCACATCCACATGTCGTTCTATGCAAGCAGAGATTATACTTTTTTTACGTTTAGAGATTGACCATGTACGGTATAAAAAGACACATCGCTCACCTGAGCACATTAGCTAAGAAGAAGCAGAAATTAGTTCAGTATTAAACGGGGGGGGGGGGAGCAAATTTTAATTTTCACTACCTCAGGCATCTTCGCTAGCCAAGGGTTTCTGATACGCTACTCTCCTCATAAGCCCAAGGGTTTATGAGGAGAGTAGCGTATCAGAAACCCTTGGCTAGCGAAGATGTACCTCAGGATGCTTCCATATCAATATTACTAATTATGGCCTTGCTGTTCTTAAACAGAAGAATTTTAAAGATTTTTGTTTCTTATGTTTTTCGATGTAAAACTCTGATCTCTCATTGTTGCCCCACCCTAAATTTAAACAAATTTGAATCTACACTACCTGAGGATGCTTCTATAAAAATATGACTAATCATGGCTTTGCTGTTCTTGAGCAGAAGATATTTTCAACATGTTCAAGATGACTCCTATACATTCTTATGCAAAACTTTGACCCTCCAAGCCTCTAAGCCACCTCTAAAATTTAGGCGCCAGCTGGCTGCTAATCAGAAAAATTTAGTCGCCAATGCAAAATTTTAGTCGCCAGTCACATTTTTCTTAGGCGCCAACTTTAAAAGCTGATATTAGTCGAAATATGGGCCCACTGAATTTGCCATGGGACGGGGGGTGGGGGTATCTATTGCAATCGTAAAGAAAAAATCATTAAGAAATATAAGCCAGCTAAATGTCAAAAGGTTAAATTTAAGCATGCATGTAAAACTCTGTCGTCTCAAACCGCTGTCCGCGAAGTCCGCATGTAGCTCTCTCCTACCGGCCAGGGAGAGGATTGTGCATGTTGGTCGTGGTTTGCGACAATGGTAATCATATCCAAAAAAGTTTTAATCAATCTTTTTTTTTAAAAAAAGAAACGTGGTTATGGAATATTTTTTAAAACTATAATATCATTTAGTATTGCTTACACAAATTACATTTTATGTTCGTTCGTACAATTAGGACTTGCACATTTGTCGATTTTCTGAAGCCAACAATTACCTGGAACTGCTATTGTTCTATCTGGTCTACCTGAGCTTTGTGTGCACTGAGGCGATACGAAATTTCGTTTGCACGTGCCTGAATAAAGAAGCAAACGAGGTGTCAAAGAAAACATGACATCTTTTTACTCCTTTTTAGAAAAAAAAATGTTTAAAATGTTATAATTCTGGAATTTGCATGACGATGGCCAAGTCAATTTAAGATAGTCGCCAATTTGGCGACTTACAGAGAAATCTTAGGCGCCAATCAGAAATTAAGATAAAATTTGATTAAAAATTAGGCGCCATGGCGACTAAATTAGTCGCCAATTAGAGCCTTGCCCTCTGTTGTGCCCCCAACCCCTGGGGGTCATGGTGAACAAACTTGATTCTACAATACCTAAGGTTGCTTCTGTATAAATATGACTAATAATGGCTTAGTTGTTCTTGAGAAGAAGATTTTAAAGATATTTCCCATGTAACATGTGTGATCAGGAAAAGGGATAGGTTTTCCTTTTACTCTGTCTGAGTTAATGATTGGAATGATTATTAAAAGACAGCTCTGTCTGAGGAAAAATCACACAGTATATATATACTTAAATTTTCTCTTATCTGGAGACAGGGACTGAGTAAGGTACTACTTGCACCGTTTCTCCTCTAGGTTCCCACACAGGTGCTTGAGAATAGCCCCCCCCCCCTCCTCAAGGGTTCTTTTGACTTTTTTGTCAAAAAAAAAGTCTCTGACGAGACTATAGCTCTACTGGTGTTTTAATTAACAAACAGAGAGAAAGGTAGCACTTGGACTTGAATCTGTGGCAACAGCAATGAATAAAATAATGATCCTTGGTTTAGTCTCATTCTGAGACACAACAGTAGGAGGAGAAACACTTTGAAAAAAAAAATTAGTAACCATGGCAACCATTGAACAAAACAAATACTGATAGACACGATTATGAACCTTAGTGTATTCTACTTAATTGTCTACTCAGTAATATTGAAATCTGACTAAAACTGTGGAAGGCGAAGCGTTTTGAAAAAAATTTACAAAAAATTCTATTTTTAATAACTACTGCAACACTAATCTTTGAAATCAAAAACTGATGACCATGATTACTAAGTGTAGTCTACATGTGTACCAAGTTATATTGAAATCGGAATTTTAGTGTTTTTTAGTGTTTTAGTATGAGTAATGTACTATGAAATCGGTGGGGGATAGCTAATCATGACATACCTTAGGTAAATTGGAAGGAAATGAATGCATATGAAATTTTGCAGACTTGACATTTACTGACTCATTAAAACATATATATATATATATGACTTGTGTAAGATAATGAGACCTGATATAGTACATATTGGTTTTGGCAATTCACATCTAATGCTTCAGTCAATTCACAAGTTCTGGTGTTAGCAAAAATGAGATGAAATGTTTAAGGAAAACGTTGATAAGGGTGTTTCATCAGTTTAATAATTAAAAATATATCTTAAGATACTTAGTCAATACAGTATATATCACATTTTTCATACAAAAAGAAAGCATCAATTTGTAACACAGTCAAAATTATTGCATCATAACAGTTCTGATCATTTCTTAACAAAGTCATTAGAAAAATACACAATAAATAGTTAAACAATTCACATACTCAATACATTAACATTCTGGATTTTAGACATCAAGTAATTTTCTTTTAAAAATATTATTTCAAGAACAGATGGTCAAAAAGTGGAGAAAATTGTTTGGTCAAACTTTCAAGGTAAGATCTCCAATAAAGAGTAGATTCCCCCCAAATAGAAACCAATCGTTTATTTCTTGTCTTCATTGGGTTCCCTGACCATTGATAAGATTTTGTCTAACTTGGCAATTTCATTATCCTCCTTCTGCTTTGGGTCCATCGGGGGCGCTCCTTTCTTTTCCTTAAAAAAAAAATGCAACAATTAGATATACCAGTACACCACTGATTGATTGTGAATACATGTACTTTATATGTACATGTACACTACATTGGAGTCTGGAAAAATTCAGTGAATGTGGAAAGGGTTGAAAAGTGTAGAGCACTACAGCTATGCATAATGATTATTATCTCCGACAGTGGAAAACTATACTTTATTCACATTTTAAGGTGCCTTACATCAGTTGTTTTAATTGTAATTTTACCACTACCTTGAAATTACAAAATGAACCCTTATATACTAAGGAACATTTGATTGCTTTAGTTTACTGGTTTAACATTATACCGGCATCTCTGTGCATACGTGTAAGTTGTCATATATTATAATAGATATCTGTCTCAATACATGCATAAATCAATTTGTAAAGTATGATGCATGACTTTAACAATATCTGAAAAAATGTGACATACTGTGATTCAAAATGTCATGAAAATGAGAAAAATATACAGTAAAACTCGTTTAGTACGAACATGGTTGTATACATGTAGCTAATATACGTCTAAGGTAAATTTTGTATTTTACACTTGCCCACAGGTACAAATTCAGTTATTATACTTGAAGGAAAACTTTTATATTGCAAATTCACTAAATGTATATATTTTTAATGAATTTGTAATATGGATATAACAAATTATGGATAAGCAAAGTAATTTCACACGTCTACAGGACTTTGCTATAACCGAGTTTTACTGTATCATACTCTCTCCTAAAAAAATATTGTGACAAAATCTGAAATACCAAGATGGTGAGGGGATTTAGTGTACATATACACAGATATATGATACTTCAATTCACTGCAGCAAGTATTCCAAAAACAGATTTATCTTCATGCCCCAAGAAATGCAAAATCAAAGAAGAAATTCATTACAAAAAAAAATTATGCAAATAAAAATTGATATGGCATGTCAATAAGAGTTTACCACTCCAAATGTTGGACCGCCTTCATATTTATCCAACAATTCATAATACAATAGTTTGACAGGGTTATTATAAATAGAGGGGTCCTCCAAGTAAGGCTAAAGAGAAACATAGCATTTCATTGAAGAATGTATTATAAATCATCATAACTAATTCTTGACAGATGGATGATGATATGTGGCTATCTATAACTATATACACAGCATCATTTTTTTTAAACAATCTGTTATGGTTTAAGGAGGGATTCTTCTCTTATTCTACTCATATTTCTTGTATTTAAAAATTAATGAAATTTTCACAGATTCAAGAAGACAATATCACTAAGTGATGGTATCAATTAGATTAAATTTGACCGTTTTATTTTAGAAACAAGGTCAGGTCAAGGTCATTATCTTTTTCCTTGACATTTAGAGTAAGAAAATTACTGTTGCTAATCATGTAATGCCTACTTCTATTTTAAAAGATAAAATGTTTTTCTTTTTGCACAAAAAGATGTTACCATATCGGGTCTATCAGATGATTCTACCAAATTAATTGACATTATTAAACTTATACAGATATTGGCTAATCCGGATTTCCTCTGTTTTTTCTTAATTTTTTAGGATATATTAGTTATTTTTATATACTTCTTATATTTAAATATTTCTTATTTTTACATATGGTAAAATAGTCATATAAATATACAACATGATACAAAAACAAAAAGCTTTGACCGTTTAGTAAGAGAGAAAAAACACTTTTTACTGATTTTTTGCTCAAATCTGTTTTAAGGTTGGAGGCTTTCAAAAGCTAACAAGATTGTAGTTTGTTTAGAAAATCATTTTTATTTCCTATGTTTTAAAACTTTAGGGCATTATTATTAATTTTAGTTACATATCAAAATTTCTTCAGGTCTTTGATTGTTTAAAAAAATTAACCACATGTTATGTTCTGTAAGTGATTTTAATAGGCAGAAAAGGAGATATTTTCATACGCCACAGTTGCGCCAAAAATATAGTCCCTTACGGATTTCAAACTCAGTTTACCATTTCTATTTAAAATTGCACAATTATGATGAGTAAAGAAAAATATGATCTGTTAAATACATTACAGCTAAGTTTATAAGACATACAAGCAAATATACTCGGAATATTTCGTCTAGTCAGAAACCAGACAAGAATCCCTCCTTAAAAACTGTCAACAAACTACATGTACAAATTAAACTACTACATGTATAGTGTTGAGGTTATGATATATGTAGTTTACAAATTAGTTATCTATAATTATGTAACCAGTGATGATCACAATATCATATTTATGTTGTATGCATGTAATTTATTTACATATATTTGTATGCAGAATATTTAATTAGATGCAAATGAAGCATGTAAAATATGATTACTGACCTTTGGCAATTTCCTAAGATTTGGTGAAATCTTTAAACTTGTTACATTTCCTCTGGAAAAAGAAATTTAAATATATCAGAGGGTAAAAAGAAAAATAAGAAAAAGAAAGTAAGATCATTATAAGCCACACTGAATCTCTGAAGCCTTACCTATCATCTCCCACAATAACAATGGGGTCTTTAGGATTAAACTCTATGTGTGTTAACTTAGTCTTCTTCTTCTGGGCTACCATTTGTTCACAAAGGGGTTCATATTTGTTGATATTCAGATCATATACAAACATCTGAAAATAAGAACACATGTATCTACAATGTAAGCTACTAACAATAGAGTTATTCAGTGATTCTCCACTGCTTTCAGACTGATCAGAGTCCATGTATGAACAATATCAAAAGTGAAAAAGAAAGACTTGTGTAGGACAAATAAATACCTTTCCATCTGCTGTGACTGCGGCGAACACAGTGGAGGAGTAGGGTGCCCACGCCACATCACCGACGGAGTTGTTCAGATCAAAAGTAAACAGAGGTTTCCTTCAATGTATGAAAAGAAAAAAGTCAATAGTCATAATAGCTATTGGTTATATATATATATATATATATATATATATATATATATATATATATATATATATATATATATATATATATATATATATATATATATATATTAGTAAAATCAGCTCCAAATATAACTCCTCTAGCAGTATAAACATCCCAAATATATTTAAACCATACTTTGAGTCTCCACTTGTATACAGTATAAAATGGTATAAACATCTAGGATATAATCCTACTTCGAGTCTCCACTTATATTTACAGTATAAAATAGTATAGAAATCTCAGATATAACCATACCTCGAGTCTACACTTTATATATATACAGTATACAGGAATATAAACCTCTCATCTATAAGCACTCACTTTGTCTGTGCCTCCACTTGAGTGCCCTCACTTCTGTCTGCTGTAGTCTTGCTGCTAACCTCCCAGATTTTCACCGTCCAGTCAGCACTACATGTGATATATATCCTAGGGTGAAATGGGTTCCAGCGCACTTTATACACAGCCATGTTGTGGGCATCTACTGTGTCCAGGAATTGACTGCTGTAGGCTTTGGAACACTGGTGGATTTTACCTTCTTCTGTCCCAACAAGGAACAGGTAATCGTTCTTTCTATGAAAGTCAAAAGCTGTTCCACACCCTACAAAGATGAGGATTGAACATTGCAGTTTTATGAATAAAAATTTGGTATTTTCTTTGTTGTAAAGGTATTCTTTTCAAATTTAGCTGGTATATCTTTCATCAAACTAGAGATAATGTGTACACTGAGCTCAAAAAATAATACATGTACCCCCTGCTTCTCATATGATTATAATGGCAAAGTCCATTTTTTACTATGGAAAAGCCCAAATATCCATCCATTCAAAACATACAGTAAGAGGTGCACAATGGCACTATGTCATAGAGATTCTGGGAAAGTATCATTAAATTTTACTAAGTGGAATAGGAGGAGTTGCGAATAAGAAATGGGTACCCTTGATATTATAGAAAGAATGGCAGTGTCTATGTTTTGCTATGGAAAACCTGAAATATGTGTCCAATTAAAAAGTAAAATACATGTAGGAGGTGCACAATGGCACTATGTAACAATGATTCTGTGAAAGTCTCATTAAATTTTATTCAGTGGTATAAAGGAGTTGTGAATAAGAGGTAAGTGCCCCAAAGCATAATGGATGGACAGACGTACAGATGGACGGACAGACAAACATCAGACCCATCACTGGCAGTTTGAAAAGCAGGGGGAAAATAATTAGGAAATTTTATCTGCTATTTTGGTGTTTTGGTGTTGTAGACTAACCGTAACATGATGTAAGCATCACTTTAAAGGGACAGAATGCTTTAATTAAATTCTATGAAATTTGACAGACTGGTGTGACACCAATTTATGTATTATGTTATCACCCAACGAAAGTTGTCCTTTTTAAAAATAAACAATATTTAACTTTGGTGTCTTTGCAATTTTCATTCTATATAAGGAATCATCTCTTAAATTAATCTTTTAGCAACATTAAACTCTAGTTCTCTTGGATATATTTCTAAATAAATGAGATCAGTACCAATAGTATTGATTTTGGTTCCGTCAGGACCCTCTGCCGGGGCATCAGGCATAGTCAGCGTGATCACATCTTCAAACAGGAGTTCATTCTGAAATTATAAAGGTAAAAAAAAATGCATACTTTATTCAATATGTTCTTAGTAAAACATGGTCTTTACATTAAAGTTGTCCAAAACCATTAGTCCTCCCAAGATGTAGGAAATAACCTGAACTAAATTCCTTGTTATGTTAGACTACGTGACTTATAATTTGAACAATGAACAAAAAAATACATGTAAAGTACATGTATTTAGAATGTCAGATCTTCATCTGAACTATGAAAGCTTGAACTCTGTCAGTCCATATGATAATTCGACACCACAGGTAATATTAATGAATTTTTAAATACTGTCATTTATAGAGGAACTTCACTTGTGTCCAAAACTTTTAAGACAAGATCTTTGGTAAGATCTAAGTTAATGATAATGTATGATACATACCTTGATAATTGTCCAGTGAACTATTCGACCATCAGAAGACACTGAGTAAAAGTTGTGATTATTTTCCAAGTCATCTTTCTGCCACCTTACCTAAAATTCAAAATTAATATCTGAGTTCCATTAACAAATGTAATTGTTAAACATGGTAAGAGACTACGAGAATCCTTTTATAATCATAATAATAATTTACATGTAAATGTATTTAACATAATGTTGTGTTAACTGTTAGGGAAGTAAACAAACTACAGTAAACAGACACAAGTGTTACAGGGAAGGAGACATGTTTGGCTTGACCAGGAATCAAACCTGGGATCACTGCATCACTAGTCAGGTGCTCTACAAACTGACCTACCCAGGCAATATACACCACCCAAATCACCAAATCCTCCCTCTTTAAATTTTCTTTGCCCTCAAGAACACAACCCTTATTTGCCCTTGCCAGGACTTTCACCTGCAAGTCCATGGGTGGTCAACAGCACCAAATTATGTAACAGAAAATGTTTGGCTGGATCGAGAATCGAACTTGAAACCCCTGCATTACTAGTCAGGTGCTCTACCTACTGAGCTATCCCGGCCGATATCTATGGCCCAAACCATTACAAACATAACACCATACCTGCCAAACTGGATCTGTGTGTTTGCCATTTTTCGCTGTACACCTATGTACAGGCTCTTTTTTCTGCACATTAAAAACACCGACACTTCCATCATAGAACCCTACAGCTACCATATACGGGTGTTCTGGATGGACGTCAAGACACATGACTCCACTATCTGTCTCATAGATGTACTCAGCAAACGAAGGGTTTTTCAAGGAGTAGAAAAGAATCATTCCACTACCCTGCTTCATGAAGTCATCTGTAAAAACAAAATATGGTCCATATATTTTTATCCCAAATGAAATCATCTAATAATTTGGGAATATTAGGATTTCTTTTTTTAATTGCTATTAAACTTTAAGCATTTTAATTATTCAGAGAGAAATTACTTTAATGAAAATGTAAAAAAATTCTCAAATCCAAAACTGAGCAAAATACAAAGGAAAACTTACAAGATCCAAAGGAAGCAGCAAAAAGATCTTTATATTTGGGATTCCAGCAAAGGGAGGTAACTGCTAGTTTCTTCGCCTTCTCATAGGAGAATCGCCACAGAGGTAACATGGTTCCCTCATTATCTCGATACTCATCAGATGGATCCTCCCAGTATTTGAAGTCTTGAGCAATGTCGTCGTATGTGTTCTGATTGACCATCCTCTCTACAATCTTGGTGGCTTTGGAAATGCGTGATATGTCATCACCCTATACAGTTAATACTTGCTGATTATCTTCACATAATTTACAGTCTCTCTCAGTCATAATCAAAGGACAGTATGCACTCATCCCTGAGTCAAAGTAACAGAGGTTGAATTTGACAGAACCCTAAAAAAGTCTCTCACCTGTGTTTCGGTTATGGTTAGCTTCTTTCTAGTCTTTTCCTCCTCTTTTCTTCCAGGGATGGTCTTTTTCTCTTTGCTCTTTTCCTACAATAATACAGTTATGAAACGTTAAATATCCTAACAAGATATTCAAATTTATATTAATTTTTGATTGGTTAGTCCCCTCACCCCTATTTTTTATAGTACATGCTTTATGAATGTTTTTTTTTTTTTTTAAATCATGTTACCACTAAATTCCTTTCAAACATTTGAAAAAAAAGAATGAAACTGTTTGCTTTTGTAACTATATGGCAGAGATTAACAGGAAACACATTATTTCAATATAATATTTCTATCTATATGTGGTACATATTATCGATAAACTATTTTTTTTCATATAGGAGTGTACATACAAAGAGTAAAGATATAAAACATGCATTCCTGATATTAAGCTTGAAACTACATGCATTTTGTACTAATTTACTTGAAACAATCTATTATAAGTACATGCATGCAAGTGCAATCCTCAATCTACATCATCGTTGCTGTCACAGTAAATAATTATTGATCTGTTGGGAGAAGAACTGAACAATTGTTCCAAACCCTAACTGCTTTTGTATATACTAATTTGATTTCTGTCTAAATTTACAACTAACTGCTGTTAAATAAAATAAATAGCAAATATACTGCATTTAGTTTGAAGTAAACATAAAAATTAATTCAATTGATGATCATTATCTAAAGTTTGACTCATAAAGGAAAAGATTATCCATGCACTAATGAGCCATAAATATAGAATTGTCAAGAGTGTCATGTCAGTGTATCATGTCAAATACTGTCAGACAGTGTCAGAGTTTCATGTCAAATATGAACTCATTCACATGCACTTTATAGCAAACATGCAAATATTTAGCCCACTTTAAATATAACAGTTTGCAGTGTTTATTCTCAGTCTGCATATACTGTTGGTGAATATTCAGGATACGTCTTTGTGGTTTGGTGAATATCTGTGCAGGATACAATTCATGGTGACATAATTTAGGTTAGCCTATTTTGGTATATCTTTAATTTTACCCAGAATGCACTGAAACGCTTGGTGCCGTATTTCAGTGCCAGATAATTCTGACTGGATGGAATTTCATTCTTCTGATAATACACAGAAAGTTATAGATATAGCTATGAATCAAGAGAGGTATCATTTACATTTTGCTTGTATACAAGACATGCATTGTTCTAACTTTTAGAAAAATCTGGAGAAAAAATGAGAGCAATTTGAAGGGAGTAAACTTATCTAAAAACAATACTTCAGATCATAGATGTATCCTTATGGCTTTTTGATTATAAAAAAAATACTGTTATGCCAAAAAAATCAATTTGAAATATTCAATGATACTGGTATTATATGATTTGAGAAGTTAAAATAAATGTGGAAGAGCTGTCTTTTATATAAACATTTAATAATAATACTCTATAACTTGAAGTATATTCCTAAAAACCTTCAGCTACCAAGAAGAAGAAAATAAAATTGATAAAATCATTCCTAGAGTTTTGTGACCAGTACTTGAAAATGGTGTTGGTGGTGAGGAAAAGTGGGTGGAGCCTTATGAACTTGTTTTGCTCGAATTGCCTCTAACTGCAGAACGACACATCAATTTATTGCAAAATCATCCGTATTACTACATAACATCATGTTTTTAAAAACTTCATTACAAATGCATCCTCAACCAATGTATATGATTATGTTCACTTATAGAAGAGTTATTATATCTTAAATGTTAATAAAGACTCTTTTTTGAAATTTAATGTATTAACATAAAATCAATACGAAATGATTAAAATAATAATGAAAGCTGAATTTAGATATAAAGTATTCATTATTTACACAATTCAGAGGAGTGGTGAAATTACCTGTTTTTCAAAATCTTCATGGTAAGCATCTGCTATTTCCCACTGTGTAACGTTGGAGGAGAATGTAGCCCTGGGTGGAGGCTCAGTGGCTGTACCCCGCTCCTGTTAAATTTTTTAAAAATTCTATCAAAATCAGAGCATTTTCATAGTTTTCTCATAAAATGGTATATGTTGGAATACATATGTACAAGAATACAAAAATAAAAATTTGATTGTTTTCATTTTGTGATCATTCCAAAAAAGAAATCTTCCCAATGTAGAATTCTAATTGCTGGTTCTCTGAACAAAATTTCTAGAAATTGCAAATAAAATATTCTTCATTTATTTTAATACTTTTACTTAAGGACAACAATTAAAGTAATTTTCTCTCTTACTCTCCAAACTGATTTACTCAGGAAAAATAATTGAAATTTAATTTGGACTCTGAGTGATAAGAAAACTTTTTCAAAGGACTGAATGCTACTGTACTCTGTATGGGTTGTTGTAGGTTTGGGAGGCTCTTTCACTGAAGTTAAACTGGTTGGTCAGTTTTTCTGCACCAGCAGGGGCCCCAGCAGCAGGGGTAGCTGCCTCCTCCCTTTGTTCACCCTCCTTAGCCTGAAAAAAATCTGTATTTTAACACAACTTTCAAGCTATACATGCAATCTACTTTCATGTTGTCTTTAACTGATTTTGAACTGTTTTAAATAATAAAAAAAGGAAAAAAGAGTGTACAGTATTACCATATCAACAGAGGGTGATTATCAAATTACCCCAATAAAATAGGTCCACACTTCTCTATAACAGATCATTTTTATTAGAAAAAAAAAAAAACCAAACTTGTATAAAGTGGATTGAAAACAACTAAAGCTGTGTGTGTAGAATAGCAAATGAAAAACAAAATGACCACCATATTCATTATTGTACAACCTCCACTCAAAATGTCTGCTTATATTTTCAACTTTTAATCAAAGAAAAAACACCCAGCATTTTTTTAACTAAGTGAATACTTTGTAGTTAAGATGTAAATTCCCTTCAATAAATTCAGGTTTTGCATTGAGTTACAAATGCAGTTTGAAAGGAGAGAAAAATCAGCCTCTGACAAAAAAGTTCCTAGATGTACATGTACAACAGAACACACAAATATACACGTATAACCCTTGTCAATTCTCAACAAAAAAAAAAGGAAAAAAAAAAAAAGAAAAAAAAAACTCAGTAACTTCAAGAAGAAAAAAAGAGTTTCCTTAATGACAGTTTTGAAAACCAGAATTTGGAAATAAAAGCTCTCTGTGCTGTAAAACATAAGTGAAAATGTGACGGTGTATCTAGAAAACAAAGATAAAATACCGGTTCTGCTTCCTCGCCTTGTGCAGTTGAAGTCTGCGATACAAAACATCTTAGACTTTAATACTTTTTATGGAAAATTGTCGAGTGCTGTACCTATTTTTTTTTTTAGCAATACATATATACATTTCACTATGCTTGTATACTACATATGTATTGCGCTACATCCTTTTTGTCAGAAATAATTTATTTTCTTGTATAATTGGATAGCTGCTGTTATGAGATTACTAATACTATTTAATTATTTTTTAAATATTATCTACCTCTTCTTTTCCTTCCTCTCCCTCGGCAGGAACAGCACCTACTGCAGGAGTGGCCTCCCCTCCTTCACTTCCTGCTACTTCTCCAGCTAGTAAGAAGACATCAATTTGAATCTTTACACTTGAATCTTTTTTTTTTATTTATACATGTAATTCTTATGAAAACCTTTGTTCATAAGAAAAAAAATTCCTATTTAATTATTGACATGGAAAAAATACTAATAATCTTTCACTACATTTTCTATTTGTGTTGTATCGAGTTTCTGCTTACTTACCCTCAGGAATTCCTAGTCTGGCTCTCTGTCTCTTTGCCTCATCTGAGTCCTTATGTAGCATGTTACCATCCAGTGCAAAGTGGATGGCCAGCTGGTCCACATGGGATGTCTGTTTGTACTGCTTCTCCTATCAAACCCAAAAACAATTGGTCATTATCGCTTTCATTTCATTTTTCCCAGCAAAATTATATCTGTATTGGTTTGAACATTATTTAATCTTTGGGATGGTAATGAATTTTTTTTTCAAAATAGTTTTATAAAATAGATCAAACAGCCATTCTAAAAAAAATACTGAAAACTAAAGTAAGTACATGCATAAAAAATTCACAGACCTTGAAGCTGTATCTGACAATGTTTTGTGGAGCATGAGGATTATTTGCTGTCAGAATACGGGTAAACTCCTCTTTCAATTCCTGAAATAAAAATGCATTTTGAGCAAAGATGTGTGAGCTTGAAAATTTTTTTCCTCGAAAAAAAAAAAATTAAATTAATCCAAACTAATATAAAAATATTAATTACAGTATACAAATGAATTGACAGCTGATTTGTTTCTCTTGTATCTTTGATTTATTTACCTGTTTTATCAGCTGATTTGTTTCTGTTTTATCAGCTGATTTGTTTCTGTTTTATCAGCTGATTTGTTTCTGTTTTATCAGCTGATTTGTTTGTTTTATCAGCTGATTTGTTTACCTGTTTTATCAGCTGATTTGTTTACCTGTTTAATCAGCTGATTTGTTTACCTGTTCTGTGAGATCCAGTTGGTCATCAGGTTTCACTAAGGTTTTTGTCTGAAAAATATAATGTTTGACTGCAATGATCATGTAAAAAAAAATATGTTAAAAAAATCAAAATGAATGAAATAAGAGAATTAAGATGAATTATTTACATTTATATCTGGCATGAATTATAACTATATCTATTCAATAAAAAATGCAAACAAAAACAAAACATAACCAGCACATTTATTATAATTAGAATTACCAAGTAAGTTTGAAATCAAAAATAAATAAACATTTAGATGTTGATCCAAAGATGGCTATCACAATAATACGAGTAAGGTCCTAATGTGACTTACATTCATCCAGTCATCTCCATCTGTGTCTCCAATGTCTGTCATATCATCTCCATCCTACAAATACCAAAATATACATCAAACAATTATGTAATATATGTTTACTATCTATTTTATGAAATGCAAATTTCAAAACTTTACTGGTACTTTTTTATCTTTGTAGATAATCTGACTTGCATTTTTGTAACATATTTCATTATTTATTATTATTATTTTTTTTTCTCAGCCACTGAGATGCTTAAGCACAACTGTTGATATTCTTAATTCTCATGCATTGTAATGAAAACAATTTTTGAATATGACATTATAACAACTTTTTTTTCAATGAATAAAATGGATAAATTACAAATACAACATATTTCAATTTTTACCTTCCCTGGTTTTCCTGTAGGTCTGGAGGATTTTCCCTTTGAGGCCTGTTATCAAATATTTGAAAGCAATTATACTAAATAAAATAGGGGTACAAAAGGGGGCAGCTCACCTTGATTCTTGTTGCTCTCCTCCTCGACAGATCCATCTGTATCAAGATAAAGGAACCCCTTTAGCCTTTTTTGTTTGATTTTCTCTTTTTTCAAACTTTATTTTGTGTTATTTAGTCTAACCTATGTTAGTGCTATAATATTTATAATACGGCTTTATGTGTGTCTAATTACACAGAAATTTATTACAATCTTTTGTTTAAGGTTGAAGTTATTGGTTGTTAAATATTGATACAAGATAAAGCCCATAATTGGTGTTAGTCATCTCTTTATGTCATTGTACTACAGCTACACATGCAAAAATAATATCACGTTTTTACTTTCAGATTTTGCACAAAGCTTGAGACACTTTTGGTTCATCTTGCTGAAGGTACCAACTGTTATCAGAAGAGAATCAATGAGGTTAGAAAGCCTTGAATTCTGGCACCTTATTTTTAAATTTATGATCATACTTTTATCTATTTTATTATAAATCTTTGCAAGATGCATTTAGATGGCTTAAAATTTATTTCTAAATAATGATTGAAAAAAAAATTGAAGTTTAAAATGTATAAATGGAATTGAACAATATATCATTAAATAACATTTTGTAATCAATGAAACATTCTAATATAAAGTTATTTTGCAAGAATCAGTGGCGGATTTAAAGGGGGGGGGTCACCCAGCGCCCCCCCCCCTAAAATTGTCAAAGTTAGCTTAAATCATAGTTCCGTTGAGAAAATGTAAAAATGTCTACTCGGTAGACCTCATTTTTACCCTACAAAATCTCTATAATCCAGGAGCCCCAGACCCCCTGCCTACTTTTGGCACCCCCTCTAACTTCAATTCATGGATCCACGCCTGAGAATGGTAGGAAATTAATATCTTTTATAAATAATTTTAAAATAACATGTTTAATATGCATTGGGCATCATGCTATATAATATATTTATAATAACATTACATATTAAGTAGTATTAAAAAAATATTGCTCAGGTGTCAGACTATGGAGAAATATAGATTTAAATGTAAAATTAAATGTAAAATTTCTATTAAAAAAGATTTGATTATTATTATTTGTTCTTTCATTTGTAAACTGATATTATTCCCACAATCCACAAACTTGTTAAATCTTGAGGCAAAATAAATTACTCATGAAGGATAAATCAAGATGTTCTGGTTTTAATGTTAGGAGTACATGTACATAGCTTTGTTTTCAAACAAATGAATGCAAAAGCAGTCATTAGTATAGTTCTGGATATAGGTGTTAAGACTTTAAAGCTTTTAAATAAGGATTTATATGAAGAGGTAGGTGATACTACAATTACTGTCCCAAGAAATCCCGTATCTATAGTGGGGAATGAGACCTGATGATTTATAAAATACCTTTTTCTACTATATTCTACAGCAACAAGTTCTGCAGAAAGGCAGAGGTTAGAGAGCAACAAGAAGCAAGGTTTAGTGTCCAGTATGCATATATACTAGGTATAGTTAGTGAAACAATAAGCCAAAGAAAAATATTTCTATAGTATACTACAATACATCAATATATATACCTTTTATATACATAATCATTAATTTTGCATGTAAATTGTCATAATCTGATAGTTGTACAACTATTTTTTAATAACACTACCATATTATATTTCCAAAAGAAAATGATTATAAAATACATATACCAGTCACTTGAAAAGAAATGTAAAATTCTTTTATAAAATTTTCTTCTAATGCTTTGCTAGAAATCAACAAAATGAAAAGAAAAAAACAAACAAACAAATACAAAACAAATTCCAGAATTTTATGTACATAAAGTTTGTGTCATTCATCCTCCATGTTAATTAATGCAAATGCTTGTTCTGAAATCAACGTTTCCTCTCTGACAAAGCAGACAAGTTAAGTTAAAATTGAGCGTTTAATTTGTTAAGGTACTTTTCCTGCAATTATTCTGCAATGATTACAATGCATTGCCAAGGGTTGAACTTCAAATAGTAGGTTGTCTGATTAGGAATGTTATTTTATCAGCTTCCAAAAGTAATAATTGTCAGAAAGAAATGATTGAATTTAATTAGAAGAGTCGGTTTAGTCAATAAAAAATGTAACACATGAGGACTAGCTCCTCTCAAGTTTTATAAGCTTGGTTCAGCGAATGTTCAGTAAGATATTTTACAAGGACTTTTTTCTTATCTGTCCTTATAAAATCTACAATGATTGACTTGTGGTGTATTCAACAGCACATTGTCCAGCTAAAAATGTTTCCTACCTCTATCATGAAAGAGTTCCCTTAAGTTAAGTAATTGCGACATCAGGTATTGTCTTAATTTGAAAAGATGCTTCACACATTAATGTCAAATTCAGAACAAGTCATGCCAAGTCTAAGATATGGGCCGATCTACCTGGTATGTAAAACATCTTATAGTACATTCTTACAATTCAAAAACTTTATAAAATTACTATAATCCCCATATTTTTTTAAAAAATCAAACTATTAGAACACATGTTCTAATTTACAGTTTTTTTTTTTATAAAAGCTTTCAATAAAATTGATCTCTAGTTTATTCAAAGGAATTTATTTGAAAAGGATAAGTTTGATACATCTCTGTGTGCATTTTCATTCCATACAAACTTATAACATCTAGCTAATGCATAGCTCATAGCTTAGCTAACGCATAGCTTAGGCCAGAAAAAAAATAATAGTCTTGTTTCCTGCTACCCGACCTACCCTATTTTTTGCACCCAACCCTAAAGTTTTTTTTTAAGTTATGGAAGAAAAAAAAAATCGGGAATTTCCAGAATTTCATCGTTCTGTCACCGTAATCGGTTTCCGTGTTAACACTAAAGAAGCATTTAATGAAATTCTTGTTTCATAAAATACCACTTGAGTAGTGCATAAAAAGACATGGAATTTAATTTTCAAAAGACAATATTGACCTGTGACATGTTTAATTTGATCTTATATAAGTTCATATCCAAAAAATGCTGTCGGAAAAAAAAATAAAATAAAAATATAAAATAAAATAATTTTCCTACCTACCTACCCTATTTTTTTCAGGCTGGTAGCAGGAAACAAGACTATTATTTTTTTTTTTGGCCTTATGGCTTGGTCAATTGAGTGATTTCTATTGACTTTATTGATAAAATTGCGAACTCCTGTGACACAGTATAGCTTCATATTCTCAAAACTTCTGCATTGAAAAAAGTCTTTCATTGAGTTTCAAGCAACTGACAATATTAATGCAAAGACACTATATGTTTTGTATACTTTTGCCATTTATATGTCTTCTTTTTAATACAGTTACGTTGAAAATGAAAAATTCAGCGCGTATAACCAAACCTGTTTGGACTTTGGTGCTGCCTTTGGTGGCATTTTGCAGAACTTTCACTCGGTTGCTGCAACCAAATATAACACACACTGCAGTTTATAATGGCGGTAATCGTTTCTAAGGGAAACAACAGGACTCGAGATTATCGAGTTACGCGAGACTTCCATCGGAGATTTTACTAATCAGCGCAAAAACATGATTAAAATGTAATGGAATAATTATTTCTTGGTATTTTTTTAGACTTATGATTTGACTTTGTAATGTCCTATTTTAAAATATTAAAAATAGTATTAAAGATAAAATAAATTGATTTCAAATTTAATATGGAAGTTTCAGTCATCCAGATTTGGTTGTGTCTTTTCCGTAATTAGTAACTGCAAGGAAGAGTTTCAAGATCGAGGATGAAGATGATAAATAGATTTACGATATGCAGATCATAGACTTTCATATTGTGTTTAAACTGAGATATTATGGACAGCATGGAAGACAGTGGATTTGACAGTGATCACAAATCTAATCAAACTGATGCAGATGTGAGTTTACAATATCTGACCATTTTGACATATGTTCATCTGTTCATGAAGTTCAAATCATAAATGGTTAGGCCTAATGCAGATGTTTTAGTACATTCCTGAATACAGGATAATGTTTCCCCCAGATATAATTATTTGATAAGTAATAATTAAATTGATAACACTAAAACTTCTTGAATTTTTAGCGTTGATTTACCCAAACGTTTATAGAATGTCCTATCGTTAAAATGATAAATGTCCTACGGACCCAGTGGTGAGGGCCTGTCCCGAGACACAGTTAGATTATTCTAACTACCCAAACGGGGACCCAAACTGAATAATAAAATTCCCCATAACATATCAATTATGGGTTGTCTGTTTATTCATACCAAAATGATCACATTGTTTGGTTCTCACTACACAGTTCATACGGTATCCAGTCAACTCGTACCCAAACCGACTCGTACCCAAACCGAGTCGTACCCAAAGAGTCAACTCGTACCCAAAACTGAAGTCATAAAATAAACAATCAAAATATTTCACTTTTTGATATATTTTCATAAACCAGTGATTTTTCTACATTTTTTAAAAGGGGCCTGGGCCTTTACAATTGGGAAAAATCATCGGCATTTGTGTAAAATTGGGAAAAATCAATAAGATTGAAATAAACCTTAATTGACAGGTAAAATAAAATATATAAGGCCAAACAAAAAAATATGTCTGGTTCCGGTTACACCTCCATAAAAATTAGGGTAGGTAGGTAGGGATTTTTTTTTTTTTTTTATAATTTTTTTTTTTTTTATTTTTTTTACAAAATGATTTTCTTAATATTTTCTTTAGAAATAATACCTATCACTGCTTTGCAAATGGCATTTAGATGTGGTGTGATAATATACTAGTCAATATTGGTAGGGGACACCTACATGCTAGTTTGCTTTGGATTTAACACTATTAAACTATGTTTTGCAAGGAGGCCGTCATTGCTGAAACTGCCATTGATGGAAATCGGGGAAAATTCCGGAAAAAATATGAAAATTGCCAAAAAAAAGTTTAGGGTCGGGGGTATAAAATAGGGAAGGTCGGGTAACCGGAACCACACATATTTTTTTATTTGGCCTAAGTAAATGTAACATCATTTATTCAAAATATTTACTACAAAATAACAAATTAGACACAGTTTTACATTTTTAACTTTTTTTTTAATCTTTGAAAGTTGTCATTAGTTGTGATCGTCCTATATTTCAATTCTTTTTTTTTTTTTTGCCATAATGGTAGACATAAAAAAAAATCCTACTCATAATAGCCATTGAAGATGATATAATCTGACATGATTTAAAACAAATCATTTTTCTTCTAGCTTTCTAAATCACCCTAATCATTGTGCTGCAATTACCCTGCAATATTAGTTGCATCTGCCGGGTGTAGAAACAGTTTGATTTTCATGGAATCAGGGATGCTTGTTGTAGAACTACTAGTTCTTGGATTTACAAATAAAGCTATGTTTCGCCTGTTCACATGCATCTTACACTTTCTTACGATGTATTTAGTTTGACGTTTGACATGATCCATGTGTTTTTTTATGTCTTGTAAATGCACAAAATGATCTGCTGTTTTTCACTATTATTTTAAGAGTATGAACGACCGAGAGCAATAGCGTTCCAATTTAGATAAGTCGTACATAAAAAATTCAATATAACAAAATCAATAACGGTTTTTCTGGGGGGAAAAAGCAACTGAAATTGGGAAAAAATCGGTAATTTTTGATAGGGGAAAGGGCCGATATTCGGACCTAAATTGGGTGTAGAAAAATCACTGTAAACAATATGATTTATTATTCCAATTTAGTTACACTACTTATATTTTATAAAATAATGACAATTAAATTATATTTGTTTGAAAAATCAACTTGGCATAGGCCTATAGCATAGATCTATAGATAGATTCTTTATTTCCAAATCAGGGCCCTTTCAGGCATCACAAACAACAAGCATGATTTATACAATTACAAACAGCACAGACAAATTATGTGTATACTAAATAATCTACAGTACATGTCTTTGTATATAGTATGACACTGTATATAGAAGTAAAAGTTTTGGGTACGAGTTGACTCTTGGGTACGACTCGGTTTGGGTACGAGTCGGTTTGGGTACGAGTTGACTGTAAATCGTTCATACTACACCAATGAAGAGCCATAAGCAATGAAATATGCAGGTCCAGTACAATCAGTACATCTAGATACGTAGCTTGAATTACCTACCGTCGTAACGGGTGGGTTCGCCCCAATTACATGTTCGCTCTGAGTGGTTTGAATCTTTCATGGCGAGTGGTTTCACCCCATTTGTAGCTGTAACCTGGCTGTAATTAAGGTGTCAAATTTTTCCACGTGTGTATTTTGACAGTTGCTTATGTTCTATGTTTGTGGTTTTTGCGTGTGTGCTATGGGAAAGGTTTTATTGTATCTAAGGCCGTCTACACAGTACACCTTTTTGATTACATTTTTAATAAAGTAAATCTACTTAGATCAAAATTTGAGAAAAAGATTATTTAGTTGGATTATTTAGTATTGACGGACAAGTCATAATTAAATTTAATTAATGTGCACTATAATTATGTTAATGTAAACACTCAATGATCAAACAAATTTTACTTAATAAACATCAAGTACACTGTATAATCGAAGAAAACCACTAGGCCTAGGGACGAATTCGCTCAGGGTGAACAGGGAAATGGTGCGAAACCACTCAGCGTGAACAGGTATTAGGGGTGAAACCACACGGATTCCCTACTGTAGCTTTATTTAGCTACTTGAAGTACAGAAGCTTTATTTAGCTATTTCAGTGCAATTTTTCACAATTTAGCTTTTTATTTGAAATAGACAAAAAAATCAGAAGTATCTGACTATGACTATTAATACTAGGTAGTTTTAAAAAAGCAGTCCAAGGCTAAGAAAATTTCAACATTGCTGCTTTTGAGTACTTTTAGTCAAAAGATGTATTTCCATTGTTTGAGTAACTGTACACCACCTTGTGTGTGGTGAGGCATGGATGTGAAGTCACATTGTGCTGAATTATTACCAATCAATTACCATGTTAACCAAAACTGGTTTTCTTTGTTATTTCATTCAAGGAGTAATTGTTTGGTCACAAATTAACTGTACAGTTGTATATAGATAGTATTCAATCTATTTTTTAGCAAGAGTTATTTCCCATTGGTCACCATATTGGAGGTCAACAAGTCCAGATTCCTTCAATATTCAACCAATTTAAACTTATCATATTGGGCAATAAGGCGAAGATTGGTGAAGATAACACAGTTTTTTCTTACAAATATATGTTAATAAAAGCCACCTTTAATTTATAATTTTAGTATTTTTAAGATTTTTGTCCTTAAAGAGCTAGGTTCACTTTATGCATAAAGTGGCCCTGTAGATATATCAATTTATTGACTAACACCTTATGTTCCATTTTAAACATCAAGATAAAGTAGAGACTTAGTGCTTTCATTTCCTATTATTAATAAAATTTTTCTTCTTAAAGTCCAGGTCTTGGAAAACAAGCTTTATGGAATTGAAATGTTTTTGAATTTTAAGGAAAACAGGTATATTTAAGTACTTTCAGAGAAGAAAAATAATATGAGCGCACCCTCTGATCTAAAAAATAAAACATGTTTTGTAATCCTCAGAAACGGTTCTATCAGTAAATAATTGCATAATTTAGATCAGAGATTGCGCTCTGTATTAAATATCGAAAAATAGCTTTAAAAGTTGGCTGTTTTTGTAGAATTGTTCAGGATATGAGGAAAATGACGCATTTCATGATGTCATATTGCATTGACTACAGGGCTCGACATTAACTTTTTTTCCTACTTGTCCATTCGGACAAGTGAACAAGACATTTACTTGTCCGAACTTCAACTTCACTTGTCCGAAAAATTTTCAATAAATATCTAGTACTGTCAACTGGAAAACTAAAATAAAGTCCATTACACATGACATGTGCTTGATTGATTCGTGATGTTATTGATAAATACAACAAACACATAAAACGAAATTTTATCTAGTCTTTCTGGTCTGACAACAACATAAATGTCCACAAGTGAACCAAACTTTGTTAAGTTTGTAAGTTCCATGCCTTTTCAGTAGTATGCAATTAGTGAACTTCGATCACGATCGAATGTGAACTCAATTAATAGCGATCCCTATTGGGATCGAAGTCCGGTTTTTATGTACAGCTTCCGTCTTGAAACTACCGATTAACTTTCAACAGTCGTTTTTTAAAATTATTTAGAGACTCCTATACATTAAAATGCACTTGTCCAATCGGACACGTGCCCAGCAATATTCACTTGTCCGTAATTTTTTTTCACTGGTACCGGACAAGCGGACAAGCATTAATGTCGAGCCCTGGACTAGCCAGAAATATACATCTTTTTTGGTAGATTCGCAATCGCCAAATGTCTAAATGAAATTTAATGCATTGTCAACTAAAACTAAGCAGTTTCAGTTTTTCAGAAATTCACAGGGCCAAAAAAGGCCATAAGTGAACTTGTTCTTTCTGTCATACGTGTTCAAAATTGGTTGCTCAAAGAGGAAAATTCACTAGATTGACCTCAAAGATTGCGGCCAAGGGAAATAACTCAAAGGGAAAATAGGTCAGAGGAAAACTATCTACCTGGTATAGCCCCAAAACTTTTAGAACTTTGATTGCAATTGCCCTGAAAGAAGACACATCTTCAAGAGTGATATTTTCCTTTTCAGATCAGTTCAATGTTTAAAATTATCACTGTTGAAATGATACTGGTAGAGTATATGGGTTATCACATGCTATATGCATATACTTTACTTATTACGTGTATTTCTTTTAGTTAATTATTTGATATACATTTATTGCATGATCTTGAGGTAAATATGAAGATTTATTCAGAGAAGAAAAATAATATTTCCCAGGGCTTCTTTCAAGGGGAATATGATTTCTTGTCTGAATAAATCTTCATGTTTCCTGAACATTCATGCAATAAATTGTTTATTATACCGAAACAAGAAAAAACTATAAAAATAAACATAAACTTTCAAATTCGGGACCGCTCTTAAATTCACATTCACTATTAACGTAGTGTTACTAAAACAATTTACAGAAGTCCATCAGCAATTTTGTGACGTGAACAAGGCTATTGTGATGTCTACTACTCTCTGGAGTTTTTGTTCAACGAAAATAAATATTGCGGGAAAATGCACTAGGTCTCTGAAGAGGTTGAATATGATGAAAAGCATGATGACAACAGGGAAATATGAGATTATATGGCCCTGTCATGTGATAATCTAAAACCAATCAGATAACGCATTGTATAGAATAATTATAATGAGGTATAAAAATATGTTTTATTACAAATTTTCATATTATATAGGGAGTACCTAGACATTTACAGAGTCATATAAGCCAGTACCGTAAATGCCCAAGGACTACTTTTTGTGTTTGTGATGTCATAGAATTTTCTCCCATATCTCCATTCTTAATGACATCACATATCTGTACATTTCCATTGAACTGGCAGATATACTAATGTTGTAAGGATTTTTATGACCAAAAATTCAGAGTGAATTGGTAAAAAAAAAGGTATTGACATTAAAATATGTTATGAAAATAATATTTATAGGTTATTGACTGAATACTGTGGAATATGTACCCACTGTCGGTTTTTGTGCAGATCGATGCAGAGCTCACGAACTCAGTACCCTTTACCACACAAAGACCTCGAACAGGCATATCTCCTGATATTCAGTCAATAACCTGTAAATATCATTAGATTAGTACCAGTAGTAGTCATCAGATTAATACAGTCATTCTGACTATTTAGAGTATGTCACGTGCAGGCAGATAATTTGAGATGTCTCCCTCTTGAGCAGAGTTACAACTGTGTTGTCTCATATCAGATGACAATGAATTAGCACAAAAGAGCATGCAGGGTGGCAGCCGTGTTATCTCCCTTTGGATGAAAATAAAATGTCATAAGTGAGATGACTCATATATATTATATACCAGTATATGGGATCTATAAAAAATAAATTCTAATGATTACGTCAAAGTTGTCTTGAGACATGTTTTGAAAGTGTGGAATTGGAGCAGTGGGTAGCTAAGGAGAACATAAGAAGTTTACCTGATACTTTCTAATCTATTTTATGAAATTTAGATTCTTCAGGTTAATAAAACTAGACTGTTTAGAAGGGAGACATCACAAATTATCAGGTATGAGTAGGTTGTCACCCTCAACACAAGCGCCCTCAGGTGATTTATCACTTCTAAACGGTCCATAATTGTATATGATGTGATATACTTACATAAAAAAGAAATTATAGTACAGTTCTGTAAACAAATCTGAATAGACAATTGTAGACATCTGTAGTACAATGTACTTACATGTATTTATTGCTAACCTTACAGAGTCCCTTGAATGGCAAAGCAAATGGACTTAGTACACCAAAGAAAAATTCAAGCACATACAAGAAATCTTTTGATTTACAAAAAAAAATTGGTAAGTTTATAATTATGATGCTTATAAATGAAGGAGATGAGCCAACTATGGATTCACAAGACAGGCACTGAATTCACTTATGTAGTAATATTATACATAAAATAAATTTATTATACCCCACTCCAAAGGAAAGGTGGGTATACTGTTTCACCGTTGTGTGTCTGTCTGTCTGTCCAGCTGTGTGTCTGTCCATACCCTAATTTCTGTCGCAGTTTTCTCATCAACTACTCATCGCATGTGCTTGAAATTTTAGCAAACTCTTTGTTTAGGCATGCCATATGTTGGGTTTCAATTATGTATGAATACGATGTATCCCTGCGTCTGTCTGTACCAAATTTTCATAAAGGTTTTCTGAGCAACTACTCAGTGCAGATGCATGACATTTTAGCATTGTCTTTGTTTAGACATGCCATTTGGTGCGATTCATTTATGTATGAATCTGATATCAACTTTCTGTTTGAGATTCTTGCAATTTAAACCTTTGCATATAGAATTAAGACTTTAATGTCATTTTGTTTGGTAAACTTTGAAAATTCAAGGATCAAAATTCTGTATTTTGATTACTGTAGATTCCTTATTTTTTGCGAGTACTTATTTTCGCGAAATGACTCTTTGACGTCAAGTCACGAGAACAATAATTCACCAGTGAACGGTTGATCAAGAGATTTTACATTGACTTCAGCACCATAAATATAAAAGCAAGTAATTTTATTTCGCGAGTGGTGCTTCTCATGTAATTACACAATTAAATTAATTCCTCGTGTATATTTAGGAATCTACAGTAAATCACATACCCGGTAATTTTAG